AACTTATATACTTAATATTTTTTTGTAAATACTTACATAATATACATAGAAAACATCCAGAGTAATATAAATAATTGTACTCATGAATACGAATGTTTGCGTTGTGCGAGAATAGAACCTGTGACCATCGGAAATAAGGTCAGCTAAATCGCTAGACCATCGAGGCTGTGCTACAGTGAACATAAACATACGACGGCATATGATCATGCCATTGTTAGAATAACAAAGACAGTCGAACTACTGATACGCTAACTACCAAACTTTGATAGTTCTAGAATGCATACTATGATACAAATTAAGTGTCCTTCATATGAAACACAATTAATTATATGGTACGTTTCTATTTATTTATTCTCTATCTTAAAAATTTTTCCTTAGTATTACTTGTTATCATTTTTTATTCATGTCCTTTCAATGTAGGCGCACTACATTGAAAGGACATGAATAAAAAATGATAACAAGTAATACTAAGCAAAAATTTTAAGTTATTCAATTAAATGAATCGCATAAGATTTTGTAAATCTAAGTACTACTACTTAGGTTTGATAAACATAAATAATAGAGTTACATGTCTGATTTCGCCTTATACATATAAAATAAAAGATTGTATGATCATGACCATGACATAAAGGTAATTTTGTTCCATTTGCCAACGCTCAATTAAAGTGGTTTCAAGCGCATCTGGCTTACGAATGGACCAATCAGGAGGATGCGCGGGCGCACATCTGTCGAGGAGAGCACGCCTGCGTGTTTTTTGCTCCTTTTGTCGTTGTTTTTTATTGTAAAATATTTAAATAAAATGGGTAGATATTTTTAAAATCAGATTCATTCACTATACATATTAGGTATATTATAATAAACAGAATTATATATACTATATATATCTATTGAATTTATCATTGCGCATGTGTTACAAGGTAGGTATATGTTAATTGTATTAATTAGTATAATATATTAAACAAAATGTATTCTTACAATACATATTGAGTCATAAGTGAAATTTATATGAATAAATCTTTATACACATAATAATAACCTTGCGAGTAATGTTCATTTAAAAATCAGTTTTATAAGTTGCATTACTGAATAAAAAGTAAATTTCAAGCTCGGAACGTTAAAATACAGTATTTTTGCTACTGATCATATTCTTCTTTATAAAGCAGTGTATTTTTTCATCGTCTTCAAATACACAGGAAATATGAATAATTCAACAGACATGCTTCATCATAGTTAATGAGATCATTTATTAACTCTACGAGTGCCATGCACTCTGCTTTTGTACCACTGTGTACATCTGGTCGTTAGAAGGTCGCTTCTTCTATGTCGAGCTTTATTATAACTAACTGGGTCAAGAGTCCAGTGTTTCCGTAATCTAGTACAAGTAGGTACTGCAGATGCTTACGAAAAGTAAAGGCTTTTGACTTTTCCGTGTAGGAGAACAAAGTAACAAACATTTTCGTTGTGATACTGAAATACTTATTACAACTTTTATTGCTGCTATTAACAAGACATCAATTTCTAGTGCTAACATTTACAACTAAAACCGTCCAATGCAATGTTTCTGGCTACCCCATGAGCGTGACGAGCCACCCTCCGTCCTACCCTCTTCAGCTGCCTCTGAGTGAATGCGAAGGGAATAATACGATTTTTAGTCACACTGTCTATTTTTCGTAGTGTAATCTCAATCTTATTATTTTAATATTATAAATGCGAAAGTTTGTGAATATGGATGTTTGTTACTCTATCACGCAAAAACTACTGCGTTCAGTAGCTTTTGCGTTAACATCGGATTTTGATAAAACTTTACAGTAATATAGCTTATGCATCAGAATAAAACATATGATATATATTATACTAGCTGTTTCCGCGTTTTCGTCCGCGTGGAATTTAACTTCATTTTTCTAATTTAAATTTTTCTAAAATAAAAGGAGCTCTTATATACTTATTACACAGCTACCTGCCAAAAAAAAATCTCGTTAAAATCAGTCCAGCAATTTGAGAGATTAGCCGGAACAAACAGACCGACAGACAGACAAAAATTGTAAAAAAAATTATTTTGGTGTATGCACCGTATTTATATTCATATGCATGTAGTAAAAAAAGTTTATTTCAATGTTACAAACAGACACTCCAATTTTATTTATATGTATAGATTAAAATTTAACGCGGGTGAAACCGCGGGCACATCGCGTCTGTAATAAATGCTTTTACTTTTAATAATACTAACTCGGTATTAATGAGTATGGACAATTATATAATGATTAGTACATTATTAGTACATACAGGGCAATAGTCATATAAATATATAAAGTAAGGTTGCTTATGTCGTACCCCCTAAGGAAATAATACTATAATATTCACTGCAATTGAAATAAAGCAAAATATGTTGCATTTGGTGCATCTTTATTTATTTGGCTTTTAATCAACAATCACAGAAACTTGGAATTTTTTCACAAAGTAGGTATTTTAACGTTTTTGTAAAATATACCTTCGGTACGATTAAAGCGCATAATCGCCTAATTCGTAACACCTATAGCCTTAGTCGTACTTAGAAAATAAACTTCAATGAACTATATAGAAAAATACTTAATAACATGAGATCATATGAAAAACTAAAAAAATAGAAACAATTCAGTCTGAAATCAACTTAAAACACTTACTGTTGCAAAATCAAAACTTGTTACTAAGTAAATAACACATAGTAAAAAAATAAAATTATAGGTAACTTCTTGAAAAAAAAGAAATGCTTAGATAATTCTTGAGATTGGACACAGATATCACAAATATATTTCTTTACTTTACTTTCAACGCCTGTATATATAGATCATGTATCCAACCTTTACATTTTATTCACTGGATCATGTTTTCTTCTCGATCTTCCCTATATAGTTTGAATAACCATGTTTCTTTAGCTTTTATGTTTGTTTTTCTTGCATATTTCATTAGTATTTCTTCCTTTTATAATTTTATTTATTCGTTTTTCTATTTTATTTTTTTTCATATCAAGTACAACCTGTACTAGATATGAAAAAAATTAATTGTGTATATCTTCCTTTTAATTATGTCGATTTCATTTTTATAGGGACTTGAAGTTAATTTCATTGTTGGCTTAGTACCTTTCTTCATTTTTTTAATGACTGTTTTTATGCAAGGTATAGGAGATAAAATATTCAAGTATTAAATTATCGTCATTGTGTAAAGTATCTTGTGATATTGTAGAAGGTTCCGGTTGAATGTTGGGCGGTGTTGATTCTCTAGTTGCTAAAGGTGGCGTTGTAATTTTTGGTGATGAAAAGATTGGTGGAGATACAGCCATTATTGGAGGCGATGCAACTATTGATAATGTTAAAATCGATGACGATGTGACTCTAGCGGGTGATTCCCTAGTTGGTTCAGTTGAATCGCTAAGTTCTTGATGAAATCAAGAACTGGATGGATTATCCATCCATTCATCAAATCAAGAACTTGGTGATACGACTGAACTTTATTACCTAATAAAAAGTAAAGTAAATTACAAAAATGAACAAACAATTTTCTTAATACCTAAGTTGTACCGGTACGAGTAAGGAAACTTGCACAGGTACGACTTAAGCAGCGAGATAGCCTAACTTTAAAACTAAAATCACTAACATAACCAATAAAACTTCTACTCTTTGTGTATGCCTAAACGATTGTCAGATAATTATTACAAATAGATATTAACAAAGAATACAAGTTCGTATCATATTCCTGACTTAAAAAGCTTAGAAATGAGCCAAAAATTTTAATGAAAACTGTTAAAAAACTTAATATTTAATTATTTTTGCTTCACGATGCCGCCCAGCGATCCACTTGTTTGCGTTTGTTCGCTCGACTAAATAGTTTAGGTAAACGACACCAGATGTTGCAATTTATATGTATCAGACGAAATATTGCCAGGGTACGATTTAAGCCACGACTTGAGCAACCTTACCCTATAGGTACATTTTATAGTGATTAGTATGTCTCATTGAAATCCGCTTAACGAAACCGCAATGTATTTCTATAAATAAGGTGACTTCATTTATTACTTAATAATTCTTCAATGCTTAATATTTAATATTTGAGTTAGTCGTTTATTTCAATAGAAATATATTAGTAATTCATTTCAAAATATATTAAGAATACGTTTTCATCTCAGTTGTTGTTTCAGATTTGTACAATAGCAGAAATATTTTTTATACCTACGTCTTGTAGGTACTTCAGAATATTGTCTATCACACATTGCCGAAATTATTTTTTTTCCAAAACTATTATCTAAGTAGGTACCTTAACTAGCTACAAAGTACAGTACAAAGCACCCATTGGGATCTCAATATATTACATAATGATTTTGTTTTAGACCTACGATTCACACCATGACTTATAAAATCCAATTAATCAATTCCAATCGAATATTAAACGAATTCTTCGAAAATTATCGACATTATTCAGAACTATTTTAACTAAAACAAAATAAATGATTTAATAATATACTAGATGGCGTTGTATAGTTGCTTTATTCATTATTGTATTTCTATTATTAATCAATAAATGGAGATTTATTTACAAATGTACACGCGTACATAATCTAACAAATGCCGACTTTAGTACCTACACCAGACGTTATATTTTGTAATATGCATGGGTTTGTTTGGTAACAGTTATAATTTTCTAGATTATATGTCCATTAGATGGTTATGGAATGAATAAATGAATGGATGGAATAAACAAATTAAACAAATTTGCATAGTTAAGTTTTTAAGAACACTCTAACAATATAAATATATACTATAAGAGTAATTAAACTAGATATTTAAAATTTCAATGCTCTACCGTGCAATCACTGCGGAGGGTATGAATATTCAACAGAGATTTAGTATTAAATATACTTAACTCACGTTACAATTAGAAATATAATAAGTAATTTCAATTTGAGGCTTTACATAAAATTTGATTATCAGATCATTATGTATTTATATATAAATTTTGTTTTTTTCCAGGGTCAGTGTCGTGTGAGGACGAAACGATAGGTCCTATATTCATGAAAGAGCCGCCAAACCGAGTTGACTTCAGTAACACGACCGGTGCCGTAGTGGAATGTGCCGCCCGAGGATCCCCCGCCCCCGACGTCATTTGGGTTAGAGCTGATGGAACAGCCGTGGGGGACGTCCCTGGATTGCGACAGGTTTGTTTATTAATGTTTATAGTTTCTGAGATAGACTTTTCAAAAAGTCCCCTGTGTGTGTATATCATATATTTCAGTCGACAAACCACCGGTGGTTTGTAAGTGGCGTTTCTATTAAAAGGCGAGATATTGCTAGTATACGAATGTACTACCACAGATAACATAATATTACATAGTACTACCAACCAACGAATGCTAACTTAGGTGACTAGTACCACGGACGATACTTGACAACACGATGTGCGTGATACTATTCATGTAACTAGACGGCGGTGGTCATTTACCATCCATAATATACTGTCGATAAAAATAAAACAAATACTTCTTTGGTAGCCCGCTACCAAAGTATTTGCGCTGGGTGCTATGCCAGTGAACTTGTAGTAGGACTAGACATTGAGACTTACAAAATAAAAACGGCTATTTGTGAATCAAATAAATTTCAAAATATAAGTATGCTTAATGTATAAAGTACTTCTTATTAATTTTACTAGCAATTATACAAAGAACGATAAACCATTGTCAGGTTTTAAAAATAACATCGTTTAATTAATATTTGTCATGGCCATTTACTGGTCGTCCAGACCCGTGAACGGACGTTAATCGTTGAACTTCTAAGTAGGGCACAGCATCCTGTAGATTACAGCTGTAAATCCATCATATTAAAACAAACCACGCGTTACTGAATCTTATGTGTATGTAAACAAACAATGGTGGGTCGGTCATTATTAGCGGACACGATAGCTATATCTGTTAGATTCCTGCTAATAACACGTTAGACCTACGATGGTTGATACTTTACTGTACTTATATTATACATATAATAAAAGGGGCGAACTAAACGAAATAACATTGGCTGACTTAGTGTAAGGTCTTTAATTGTAATTATTATATTCCTACTGTCTGGGTATCCTGGGAAAAATATGCTTACTTAGTATAATACTTGATACCTGATGTTGGTTCAGATAAACTGCCAATTCTTATGCTTGAGCTGTGTACAACTTTGAGGTCTTTTGCACGTGTTCGATGGAACGTCTCTGCATGCAGTCATTCAATTATTTCAGAATAAATAGTGATATGTAATACAAATAATATTTATAAAGTATAATCTCTAAACCCATAATGTTCTATACCTCAATTATAAGTTCAAACGGTCTTGTAATCCAACACGCTAACATGTCTATCTTTAACATTTCTATCTTTCTTAAATGTCACAAGGGCATAATAAAATTCATCATTTTTAACATATATGTATGCGTTATAATATATAACTGTTCCTATTTATAGCTATCTCAGGTGTCGACGCTTTAGAAAAAAGAAACCCGAACTTCTTTACATCTATCTGGCTAGAGTGAAACTCTGGATCATGTTACCTTATTAAATGGAAATAATAAACCATTACTATATGGTTGTCTTTTATTCTATTGTAGCGATCGAGTGGTTGGTGTTTTTTAAACATAACTTATTTGTGCCGCCAGGTGTTGCCGAATGGAAACCTTGTATTTCCTCCGTTCCGTGCTGAGGATTACCGTCAAGAGGTTCATGCCCAAGTGTACGCTTGTTTGGCAAGGAACCCTGTAGGTACCATCCACTCCCGAGATGTTAACGTACGAGCCGGTAAGTTTTGTAAATTTACTACTATTTTATTTAATTTATTCTTTTCTTTATACTACTATGGTAGCAAACAAGCATACGGTCCATCTGATGGTAAATGGTTACCGTAGCCTGTGGACGCCTGAAACAACGACCTGAACCTTAAGAAATTGAGGGCCTTATTATAGCGCAAATTACTACAAAAATATGAATTATAAGTATATATACTTAATTCAGACTAATATTAAAAATACAAAAAGGCATATATCTGATGCCTGTATGTATAAATGTTTATTATCTTCACGACTAAACAGCAGAATTAATTTTAATGAAATTTTTTGTTAAGACTATACAAAAAGGACGGACTTAAGCTATGTTTTATATCACAAAATAATTTGGAAAGGTGTGAAATTAGGGATGAAAATATTTCGTGTCTAATAAATATAAATATGTAAATAATTTCCTAGGATTTGATTGATTGCTTCATATTAAAATGCCCATTAGTATAATCATTTCTAATAGTAACTTACAAAAACATAATAATGTTATATATATTTAATTTGCGCTATGATTTAAGAAATATCTACGTTAAGTACTTACTTTTTTAGATCAATAAAAAAATCATAATTGGCTTCTACGTATTTGAATTGAAGTATTTACGTGGGTTTAAAACTTAATGTTTCTTTTTATAAATAATATTTTTGTTTTATAACAAATGCTTTAAAATAAACTAAGTTATAAGTTCAATATTTATAGATTTCTATACAAAAAGGTTTCAACCTCCCTTAAAGGAGAATTTACTATATAATAATAATAATTATAATATACTATATAAAGACCACTAGACTGAAAATGCCGAAACAATTATAAATAAATTTGATTGGTTCATATAACTTTATACAAGCTTTTACTACACAATAAGGTCTTACTAACTTAAGGACTTACTTAATTCAAGTATCAATAAAATAACAATTATTTCCTTAAAAAAGAAAACAAACAATTAATCTTGATATATTAACCACGCCGTCGGATTTGAAATGGAGTTATAGATGGTTGATTAGTCACAGAACGCTGCCCTTTAAGTGTAAAGGGCTTGGTCAAATGAGGTTAATTATATAATCAGAAGGGTCGAGGAGAACTATTGAAATGAAAATTATGATAACTTACGTAAGCCAGCAACTGTCATAGAAATTATTATTCCGATTGAAATTCCTATTGAGTGGTATTTTTACCCAACGTCAAATAATAAATCCAGGTTGTATGTTTAACGCAATATATCCGCTATTGAATAATTTTATCTTGTGGTACAAAGTAACTTTGATGTAATTGAATATCATAGCATATAATCTTATAGTATATAATCTGAACATATAGGATATCATAAAATATAACTGTGTTCTTCGTAATTATTTGAATAAATAATTACTATAATTATTTTTAAGCTTTCGTATTTAGTGTCCATCATTTCTATTTTTAACCGGATCTTAACATAAATAATTTTATGGTAAATAAAGGTATTTACCTTTATCGACGTCTCTACTAGGTTGCACTAGCCGTGGTCACGAATTGAGTGGCGTAACAGGAATGTCAATGTTGGTAGGTGCCAGCAGTTTTATCTACTACCGCCACTAAATTGATCACTTATTAAGTGATGCTACAGAACTTTCTTTTCCTTTGAGGTATTAAATTAGATTTATAGTTATATATACAGCGAGCGGTATATAATATGTATATGTATGTATGGTAATGTTATTTTGGATAATAATGTTTTTTGTGAAATAGTGATTACGCAGCATTATGACACTGACGTCAACAAGGAGTATGTAATAATGGGGAATAGTATCGTGATAAAATGTCAGGTTCCATCCTTTGTCGCTGATTTCATAGAAGTATTGTCTTGGCACACCGATGAGAATGAAGATTTCATTCCTGGTGGAAACTACGGTTATTTTCAAAATGATAACTATATAAATATTACTTCGCAGTCCTTCATGATCCTATCCCCACTTTATATATATTATTATTATAATTGTAATAAAAACGTTTATAACGATATAAAAATTTCACAGTGGTACAGCAGCAGTATGAATCAGAAGTAAATAATGAATACGTAATTCGCGGTAATTCTGCTATTCTGAAATGCTCCATTCCATCATTTGTAGCAGATTTCGTAAATGTCGTATCTTGGCACGATGAATCTGGAAACTCTTTCACTATTGAGGGATCGAAAGAAGGAGATGGTACAAAGCAGTGAAATTTTAATTCCATTATCCTTCCTATTTTTATATATAAATCCATTTTGTCAGATACATTTTTAGTATTTATTTGTTTTACAGTCGTAACTCAATACTACGAAGCTGAAGTAGTTTCAGAGTATGTCATTCGTGGAAACACTGCTGTACTGAAGTGCAACATACCATCTTTCGTTGCTGATTTCGTTAAAGTGGAGGCTTGGGTTGATTCCGATAGCGGAGAATATTTGCTAACCGATAACATCGGTACATAATGTCACATTATTTAAGCTTTCCTTTTCCTTATAATATTTCCTACTATATACTAGATATATTATGTTAGGTATACGACCGTCTATAAATGCTGTGAACGGAAACTTTCATTTTGCAGTCGTAAATCAGTTCTATGAAGCCGAGATACTCACGGAATATGTTATAAGAGGAAACGCTGCTGTATTAAAATGTTCTATACCGTCTTTTGTTGCGGATTTTGTTAAAGTAGAGGCTTGGATAGATGAAGATGGAACCGTGATTAGCCATTCTGATCGACTCGGTAAAAATAGTCTTGGCAAATGTTAATTTACGTACCTGCTCACTTCCCGTATTTATTATAGATCCTTACTACTCAAATTTAACATTTCTCATAAGCAGCTATTTATTATTCTATAGTCGTGTCGCAGTATTACGTGACCGAAGCCGAAAATGAGTACGTGATTAGAGGAAATACTGCTATTGTCCACTGCAAGATTCCATCTTTTGTTAGCGACTTTGTACGTGTGGAAGCATGGATAATAGATGATGGAGAAATACTCACAATTAATAATACACAGATATCTAATGGTACTTTTTATAAAAGGCTAATTAAAAAATTTTGGTCCTTTATCTTGTCCTTATATCCATTATTGATAATGCTAATTATTAAACTTATAAAAGAAACATTCTTTAGTGGTATCGCAACCCTATGAAGCTGAAGCAGACAATGAGTATGTTATTCGTGGCAATGCAGCTATAATGAAATGCGAAGTACCCAGTTATGTTTCCGATTTTGTATCCGTTGAAATTTGGATGGACAGCGAGGGAGGCACATACTATCCGGGAAATCATGAGGGTAATTCCTCAAATAAAACAATTTTCTTAGTCCTCCTGCTCAATCATAATTTTATTGTCACAGCGGTCCTTCAATCATATGAGGCTAGAGTTAACGACGAATTCGTCTTGAGAGGCAATACCGCCATTGTGAAGTGCATTGTTCCTTCTTTCGTTGCCGACTTTGTTCATACCGTGGCATGGGTTGTGGACAATGATACTATCGTTGCTGAAGAACACAGAAATGTAGAGTCCGGTAGTAATTAATAGATTTATATCTTTTTTAAGAATTTATTCCCTGATTTCTTATATTCCTTAAACTGTATCGATTTCATTTTATGAATTCTTAGTTTTTTTTGTACAATCAACAGTGGTGCATCAAAAGTATGAACCTCGTGTTATCGATGAAGATGTTCTGCGAGGCAATTCGGCAATCTTTAAATGTATTATTCCATCATTCGTGGCCGATTATGTTCATGTTGTGGAATGGGTGGCTAACGAAGAGTCCCACTCTGCATTTTCGTTGAATAGCTCCGGCGACAATTACGGTAATCGAGAGCGCCCGCGCGACCCCAATTGTTCCTATCCGCTCTTCACTGAATCCTTTAGGATCATTTAGAGTATGTTGATTTCTACTTCTAACGGCATGTATACAATATTTCAGCTGTCAACCAATTCTACGAATCACAGGTGTACGATATATATGTAATAAAGGGTAATGCCGCCGTGTTTAAATGCCACATTCCTTCATTTGTATCCGATCACGTACAAGTAACTTCTTGGCATGACACTGAAGGCGAAGAATATTTATTAAATGAGAACTACGGTATTGTTGAGGACTATGTAATTTTGCTGGTTCTATAAATCCCTCTCCGTTCATTTCTTTTATTTTATCTTATCTAGTGCTGTATTTTCAGTTGTTTCTCAGGCTTATACCGTCAATTTGGTTGAAGAAAATGTTTTAAGAGGAAATGCTGCTATATTGAAATGTCTAATTCCAAGTTTTGTATCAGAATACGTCCTAGTTGCTTCGTGGATAATATCTGAAGATGATGATGAAATGGAAATTAAAATCAATGATACTCGAAATAGAGAGGGTACTTTAAAAAGTCAATGAAATTAGCAACAATTCCCTAAATCCTTATTATTCCATTTTTTTCAAATTGGTTTGTTAAAAGCAATATTCATATTACAGTTGTGTCTCAAGCCTATACTGTAAATCTTATGGAAGAAAGTGTTTTGCGGGGAAATGCTGCTATATTGAAATGTCATATTTCCACCTTCGTCACAGAATATGTAACAGTTTCTTCTTGGATAGTATCTGAAGAGGGAACGGACCAATTTGAAATTAATACAGAATCAAACCATGATTTGGGTATCTCGTAACTCAGATTTCTATTTATTTCGTTCCCAATTTTTCCCTATCTCCATATATTTATTATTGAGTTGTAAATGTTTTTATATTGTACAACATTAAAACAAAAATACGAGCTGAGTTTCTTGTCATTTCTTCTCATCTCGAAATGATTCCGAACTGACGGTAGATTTGACATATCATAAGAGTCTGTAATAGACCTACATGAATAAAGATATTTTGAATTTGAATTTGAATTTGAATTGGCATTTCAGTTGTTTCTCAGGCATATACAGTAAACTTAATGGAAGAAAATGTCCTACGTGGAAATTCAGCAATAGTCAAGTGCCATATACCAAGCTTTGTTACTGAATATGTTACTGTATCATCTTGGTTAATATCTGAAAGCGATGTTGATGAAATTGAAATTAACATTTACGATTCTTTGACTTTAGGTATTTAAAAAATAAATAACACTTCAGTATGATATCCTATGGTATCCTAAAAGTCCTTATAAAAAAGTACTATGTTTAGTTTCGCATTTCAGTGGCGTTCCAGTTGTATACAGTGAATCTGTGGGAAGAAAATGTCTTACGCGGTAACGCCGCAATACTAAAATGTCACATACCAAGTTTTGTCGCAGAGTATGTCACTGTCACTTCCTGGATTATATTTGAAGGGGACGATAGTAAAAATGAGATAAATCTAGATTCTCATTTTAGTATAGGTAATAGTTTCGATGTCCACTCCTTCCGGATTATCCTATCTCACCTATATTTCAAAATCTTATTTCACTTAGAGAAATAAGACTTTCTTGGCGTGGTATTACTACATAATAAAAAAAATATTATTTGACTATTTCAGTTGTATCACAGGCTTATGATGTTAAATTCTGGGAAGAATACGTTTTGCGCGGTAACGCGGTCATTTTAAAATGTCAAATTCCAAGTTTTGTATCTGAATATGTCTCAGTAAATTCCTGGATCATTTCCGAAGATGAGGATGCACAGGAAATAAAAATTGATGAATCTTCTAATTTAGGTATTTCATTGTATGGATTATCCTGATTAGATCCTGTCCCCATTAATCCTGTTCTTTCCCAACCCGCTGATAGTGCTTAATAACAGATAGGTATAAAATAAGTAAATTCGTGAAAGTTGGTTAGTTAGTTTACTTTGAAATCAAATCTCTGTTTCAGTTGTTTCTCAGGCATACGCCGTAAATCTGATGGAAGAATATGTTTTAAGAGGTAACGCGGCTATTTTAAAATGCCACATACCAAGCTTCGTATCAGAATACGTCACTGTTATTTCGTGGATCATCAGTGAGGATAACGAGGTGGTTGAGATCAAACTAGATTCTGCTCATAACTTAGACGGTACAAATCTTTGTTGTAAATTGCCATATATTGGCCTCTGTCCTGCTTTATGAATCCTTGAAACTTGGTAGGGGTTAGGGTTCTGTTCCTTATTTTTGGGTTCCTGTGGTTCCACGGGCCTTACGGCCTGCCCATCCTTTACATCCTTCTTCCTTAGGTTAATGCATGTAATAATTTTTATAAGTAAATGCAGCCTTATGTTGCTTGCGAGTAATATATTTGAATTGAAATTAAATGCAAAATTTGATTTTTTTTATTGATGGAAATTACAATGAAAATTTCTTGTTATACAGAGGGAAAATATTTAGTACTGCCATCTGGTGAATTACATATCAGAGATGTTGGTCCCGAGGATGGGTACAAATCTTATCAATGCCGAACTAAACATAGACTGACTGGTGAAACACGCTTATCCGCTACTAAAGGACGACTGGTCATTACTGGTAAGTGAGATTTTGTTCATTTTAGCAATTATCACTTTTATTACAAATTCATTGAGCACTTTTTACAGCATTAACTTTAAAGTAAATGTACACTATTATGTTATAATTATTAAGCCAATGTGGAGAATCTAAATATGTCCAGTAAGATGAATTTGTAACATTATCGACAATGAAAATTATATTTGAATTATATAAGGACAAAATATTATCGTAATTGATATACCTAGGTATACTGTTGTTCTTTATATATGTTATAGTATTATTGTTTTATATCATGATCATAAAATGTTCTCTTGCAATAGTAATCTTAAAAAAGTGTTTATTTATTTGACGGATATCTTTACCACACAGTTCAAAATTTTACTTATGTTTAAAAAGGTTGATGTTTTTGGCAAGATAACTGAAACACTAAAACAAATTATACATAGATATATATACAAATTACTATTATTGCGGTTTCGCACAGTGTACAAATTTTTACTGTATTTTCAGAAAATAGCAATCTTGATATTTTCTGAAAATACAGTAATAAATTCGATAATTTGAAAAATTTACTCGTATAGTCCTTTTATTTAAAATATAGCATGAAAATTTTAGAGAATTTTAACAAAAGTCATTAGATATATCAATTTCTATGATAATTTATTGTTATTTTCCTTTTTTGTTATCAAATAGGATAATATGTATTTTGTTATGATATTCATAACGAAACATTTATTATATTTGATAAATCTAATATTTTATTATTATTCCAGGTTTACAATTAAAATCATTACTATACTGACAGTCAAAGTATTTACTTAATCAAATATAATTTTCAGGCATTATTTTTTTATCTTTTTCTATTGCTTCATTCCGAAATAAGCTTAGCAGAGTACCTCTTTTTGATAACTAAAATATTACTTTCAAATTTTATATTAATAAAATATATAAATAAGAAGAATATAATTTTATAGTTATTCTGCTATGCTATTAAGATACTTTTTGTATATGATATAATAATGTAACAATAATTATAAATCATATATTATTATTCACATAATCCAGATTAACAGGATTGATTTTTTTAAAGTAATGAACTAATTGACAAGTACAATGATTTATAATTATTATTTTCATCGAGTTTATGGAATTTAAATTTTAACCATAAACTTTATATAACTTGCCTGAATGTTGGGATAGGGTACCCTGCACGGTCTTGACTCGGGAATGTTATTTGTTTAAAAAAAAAATAGATTCCACCATAGAGAAAGTAGGGCCCTATCAGTTAGTTATATATTGTGCAAGTTTTCTGACATCTGTGTCATTTTCCAAATTCACCTTCTCCCAACATGCGCAGAACCTGTCGGTCGAGTATCTCCCAAGTTCCCTAGCGCGATGACAACCAGCGGATTCCAGTTTATGATGAACTCCAGTCTCGCAATACTTTGCAATGCCCAGGCTTATCCTGCACCGTTATATCGGTAAGAATTTTAAAATAACGATGTCATGTACATTTCAATGTTGATATTGCACGTATCAAATAATCCCATAAATTTTGATATGGTAGAAATCGTGGTAACTTTAATAATATTTTAATATCATTGATATTCTGAATTGCTCTTCTGTCTTCCATAGGTTTTCTCTGGCTCTCTAGTTATAAAATACTGGAGCTGTTTCTGGAACTATTTTCTAAGTAAGAGAAACATTCGAATGTGTTGCTCTGTACTCGCTTTCCCAACCCCATTATTCAGGTAAACAATAAATAACGAAGTGAAATTTTTATTTAACAACTTTTTATAGAACCTGTTGGTCGCGTTCCGCCAAAGTTTGCTACTCTTGTAATGGGAACAATGATTGGGATTAAGAAAAATGAGTCTTTTTCTTTACAATGTCCTGCGCAGGCGTTTCCAGTCCCACTTTTCAGGTATACCAATGCAGTGTCTAGTTTTACTTGCATAAAGAGTTATGTATAATGACTATCACATAAGAACTGATTTCTTAAATTATATTGTTACCTTCATAATGTAAAAATAATTTCACTACAGACCCTTTGGGAAAAGTATCACCAAAATTTCCGTCGCTCGAAAAAAGTAGACTTTTCAGTTTTGATGCATATCAAACTATACCAATTTTGTGTCCTGCTCAAGCTTTTCCTGTCCCAATATTTAGGTAAGCCAATAAATAATATAATATTTATATAAACTTTAAAAAGTAATCATTTCTTATATTTTCAATATTATTCCATAGAACCGATGGGAAGAGTATCTCCAAAATTTCCCACGGGAGACATTAGTAGAACATTTGTAGCAAATACTGGTGGTGACGTACCATTACTTTGCCCTGCACAAGGATTTCCCGCTCCATTATTTAGGTAATTTTTAACTTGTTTGTAACAGAACCAATGGGCAAAGTATCTCCAAAATTTCCTTCGATAGAAACTGGACGCAGCTTTGCTTTTACTTCAAATTCATGTGTGACAATGCTTTGTCCAGCACAAGCATATCCAACTCCAATGTTCAGGTATTGTTATTCATATTACTCTTATGTCCTTAGAGCCAGTTGGGCGAGTTTCGCCTAAATTTCCTTCGATGGATAGCTCAAGAAGTTTTAGCGGTTTACTTAACACCAGTTTGACCATATTATGTCCGGCGCAGGCTTTCCCAGTCCCATTATTCAGGTAAATTTCAACAAAACATATTACATGACGGTATTTCTTCATAGAACCTGTCGGTCGGGTTTCACCTAAATTCACTAGCGCGGACAAAAGTCGCGCATTTGATTCTAAAGGAGATGACAGCATTACAATGTTGTGTCCTGCGCAAGCATACCCTGCCCCATTTTTCAGGTATATAAGAATCTTGTATATTTAATTCTATGACTCAGTTTTATAGTAAAATTACCAATATCTAATAATTTTTCCATAGAGCCCGTGGGTAGTGCTGCCCCAAAAGTAGCTACTAAAGTGATCGATATAACAGAAGTTTCATCTAATGATACAGTAACATTGCTTTGTCCAGCACAAGCTCACCCTATTCCGATGTTCAGGTAATAAATTCTAAAACTTTAATAAATTTACCGTTTATCGAATTTGAAAACATTTCATTATCTTCAGAGCCTGTAGGACGAGTCCCACCAAAGTTTCCGACATTGGATAATGTTAGAGGTTTTAGTGCAATTGTTAATGCTAGTGTGACGCTGCTGTGTCCTGCTCAAGCATTTCCGGTCCCCTTATCCAGGTAATAAACAGGGTTACAATTATTTTTGTCACTATTTTTGAGTCTTTCAATGAGGCGTAACCTCACCTTTATCTAAATGACTAAGACGACCATTCCTATTGCTACCAAATGGCTACCTATCCCTGTTTTCTGAAAATAAGAATTTTGGACAATATATACATATAATCGGAGAAGAAATGCGTCAGTCGACTTATCGTTTGTTGTTTTTTCCAAGCATTATGAAGGTCTTCTAAGTCTTCTTGACACATAAGGCCATTACTGTCAATGCATTGATTTACAATTTGAGTTTAGTTAACAATTATTCTTCCTTTTTGTGTATTTACGACACACGTTTTATATAGGTACGTAGAGTTCCGATGAAACTCTTGTATTTCGCAATAATTTCAACATCCACTAGGTGATTTATATTTTCTTCACCTTGTGATGGCAGTTTATGCCATCGAGGAGAAAGGAAACCTCAATGGCAGTTTTTCAAGTTTGCACGTCAATCGTGCGCATGGGCAAGTAGGATGGATGTATGTAATTTTGTAAAGCCAAAGTTTTTTCTATTCCAATATTTAAGAGAGTTTGAACAAGTATGTAAGTGAAATACAATTTGTTTTAGAACCTGTTGGTTTCAAAACTCCTACTTTTTCTATGGATTACAAAATGGCATGGTATGTTAAAGACGTTATGCAAGGCTTTGCGTTATTGTGTCCAGCGCAGGGATATCCAGCTCCCAAATTCAGGTATTACACACCTTTATTAATTTATACATTTTAGAACCGATTGGATCAAAAAGTCCTTCATTTTCAAGTGGCTCTAAACTACAATGGTTTGAAATTCGAACTTCTGAAGATTTTGCTTTGTTATGTCCAGCTCAGGGTTTCCCAGTTCCACTATTTAGGTGAGAGTTATTAATATTTTTAATACTTTACAGAGCCCATCGGTTCGAAGCCACCTACATTTTCCACCGATGATCGATTAGCTTGGTTTATAAGACATATACAGCAAACATTAGTATTGCTCTGCCCAGCCCAAGGTTATCCTATTCCAATTTACAGGTATTTTAATTACTAACATTATTTAATTTACCAATTCTAGATCCAATTGGAACAAAATCGCCTTCCTTTTCAACTGACAACAAGTTTTCTTGGTATGTGAGGAAAATAGGTCAAAGTTTAAACATACTATGTCCAGCTCAAGGCTTTCCTATACCACTATTCAGGTGAATAAATATGCCATTTTTTATTTTAGAACCTGTGGGCTCAAAATCTCCCACATTTTCGAATGACGTGCAATTCTCAGGAATAGTTCGTAGAACTGACCAAGATTTCGCTCTATTGTGTCAAGCCCAAGCATTTCCTGTCCCAATGTTCAGGTAAAATTATATATATTTATATTTATTTTGGTCAAATTGTAACAGAACCTATCGGATCGAAAGCGCCATCATTCTCTTTGGAATTCAAAAGCACTACGCTGACAAAATTGGCCGCACAAGCAATAGCTTTATTATGTCAGGCTCAAGCTCATCCCATTCCTTTATTCAAGTGAGTCCACAATACTTAGTTATTATTCTTGGGTTTAGAACCAGTTACTGCGCGAGCTCCAGCATTTCCTACATCCGCATCATCTTATAATTACAATATAGAAGCTCTCTCTGGTGGTTCAATGCTTTGTCAAGCCCAAGGATACCCCCAACCAAAATTCAGGTAGGTTAACACGTTAAGAATTCATATTTCATTTTAGAGCCTGTGGGTGCAAAAGCACCTTCCTTCTCTACTGACTCCAAAGGCAGTATTTTTATTAGAGAAATTGGGCAAGGGTTCGCATTACTATGTCAGGCTCAAGCATTTCCTACTCCTTTATTTAGGTAAGTCAGTAAAGAAATATTTTATTTTTTCTTATACAGAGCCTGTGGGTTTCAAGCCGCCGACCTTTTCTACAGATTTTACTTTATCGGCGGTAACAAGATGTAGGGATCAAAGTTTTGCAATGATGTGCCAAGCCCAAGCTTTTCCCATCCCTATTTTCAGGCAAGTGCCATCTATTACTTTGTAAAATAATTAAATCTGCAATATTTATGGTCGAATTATAATAATATATGATGGAATAATGTCGACAGTTATTTCGGTACGTCTATTAGGGAAATATTTCAGTATACTAATTTAGGTATACTTTGTATATTATTTTATGCAGAGCCCGTTGGATTTAAAGCTCCTTCTTTCTCAAGTGAGTCAACCTTATCATCAATTAAAAGACACGAAAACCAGAGTTTTGTACTACTGTGTCAAGCTCAAGCATTTCCGGTACCAGTTTTCAGGCAAGTTTTTTATCATATTTTTGAAGTCATTTCTTCTATGAGTTATTTAATGATCTCCGATTTTATAGAACCAGTTGGCGCTAAATCTCCTACATTTTCATCTGAGTCTTTGGGTAGTATATTTCGAAAACGCAGTGGACAAGGCTTTGTTCTAATCTGCAGTGCTCAAAGCTATCCTGCCCCAACTTTCAGGCAAGTGTACTTCATAAATCATAGATATAAATGCGTACTCTTCACTTTTTAAACTACAGAACCAGTCGGCTTCAAAACACCTACTTTCTCAAATGATGCTCGAAGTATTTCATTTATAAGAAATATTCATCAAAGTTTTGGATTATTGTGCCAAGCTCAAGCATATCCAACACCTACGTTCAGGCAAGTTCCACTATAGTTAAATAGTGTTGATTTAAAACTATTTTGAATCTTCAAACGATATAACATGTTCCTATAGAGCCAATCGCAAGCTCATCACCAAGTATTACTACAACATCAAAAGCTGCTGTACATTATCCCCAAAAACATCCCGTGGCTTTAGTTTGTCCGGCGCAAGGATATCCCGTACCGATGTCAAGGTTCGTTTATATTATATCTCGCATATTACAGAACCTACAAATAAAATTGCTCCACGAAGTGATAAAAATAGGAAATTCGAAGGCGGTGAAATTTTTTTAGTCTCTGAAGCAGAATCGGTTTATCTTACCTGTGATGTCACAGGTTTTCCTGCACCCCTGTTTAGGTAAGTTTCAAATATTAATATTATTAGACAGACAACCACGATTGCACATTTATCGTCTTATAAGGTAAGTAATAGGACATAAGGCTAGCTTTACACCTTTATATATATATTTAATTCAATAATTTCTTAAATATTACGCTTCGTTTAAGATCTGTCCCCGTCATTACAGAGCCAACAAATAAAATATCCCCTAGAAAAGATTCTACTAAACTTTTTGAAGGTTGGGAAGTATTCTTCGTGCCGCGAAATAATGTGGCCTACATGACATGTCAAGTTTCTGCTTTCCCATCGCCTTTATTTAGGTGAGTGTTAAAGCATAGCTGTTGACTGTCGGTTTATATTCCAGAACCGACTGGTAGGACCGGGCCAAAAGGGACAGGGGACGGCCTCAACCGGCTTGTAGGTCGAAACAATGATAGTCTCGCACTACTGTGTGAAGTTCAAGCTTTTCCTGCTCCTTTAATGAGGTACGGCTGTTAGTTGTTATGGCCGGTCGTCGGCATCTCACGCATTCATTTATCATGAGCATATCATATCATTCCAATATAAACTGATGTGAGTTGTTATTGCAGTCTGTTGCGGCGGTGGGACCGCCCACACGTGACATGAAGGCGTGACGAAACCGCGGCCGGCCGCGTGCCCCTATTATCATCCCCAGCCAAAGTAACGATTGAGCAGCGTAGACACCTGGTAAGTGTCAGGGTGTTCTTGCTTCATACAGCCGCTTCTAATCTTTACTTTGTGCTTCTTGTGAATTATGGCTACAATTAACGTAACTTATTCCATATAAATAAAATAAAAAAACCCAACTGATGTATTAGTAATTTGTACATTTTTAGATTGTAGGTACTGCTAGTTTTTATTTAAATCGCATTCTATGTCTAATATGATTAAAAATGGCGGGCGGCATTTATTTTCTTCTTTAGATTTTACCATCGTCGATTACTATGGTTTTCAAAAGCAAAGCAGTGTCTCGTTCGATTTTTGGTTGTTGTTGTTTTGTGATTGGTGGCTCTAATTCGATCATAGAAAATATTTTTCCCTCTTTTAAAACATAGTTGGCTCAAATTAAAATAAATCAAATATTTTTTTAAATTATAATATTAATCGGGCAATACCTAAACTTCATCTCTGTTGTTTCAGATGGTACAAATTTATTGATGGATCAACACGTAAACAACCAGTAACACTTAATGACAGAGTGAAACAAGTGTCTGGTACACTGATTATTAAAGAGGCAAAAGTTGAGGATTCCGGAAAATATCTATGCGTTGTAAACAATTCTGTGGGAGGTGAGTGATGGATCATATAGATAAAAAAATATTTAGGTAAAAAACTCGTTTATAAGCGGCGAAAAGGTCCTATCTGAATGAATGATTTTTTATTTTGATCATCTTCAGTAATATGAGATATTTTGCAAAAATAACCCTTAAATGTCAACACTGTAATTTAACTACTTTCATATATTCTTTCTAGGTGAATCAGTAGAGACTGTTTTAACTGTGACTGCTCCCCTCAAAGCTGCTGTTGAGCCTGCAACACAAACTGTTGATTTTGGACGACCCGCTGTATTTACTTGCAAATATGAAGGCAATCCCATTAAAACAGTCACTTGGTTAAAGGACGGCAAGGATATGAATCATCATGATGCTGTTTTGAGGTATACTGTTATTAAATATTGTCAAAATAAGTAGGAAGACGTACCTACTTCATGATTGTGATTACTAACGAATGTTTGCATAACATTTACAAAGATTATCAGTTGATATTGTAATCTTACTTATAAGTCGTGCTTGTAACACATATAAATCACAAAATAAGAATTGCCTTTCTTTAGTCGTTAATAGAAGTAGAAATACTTATATATGCTGTCGTAATTTTATATGTATTTATTTATTTTCATGACAATCACCTGTAGAATCGAATCCGTCAAGAAAGAAGATAAGGGCATGTATCAATGTTTTATTCGAAATGACCAGGAGAGTGCTGGTGCTAGCGCTGAATTAAAGCTTGGTGGACGATGTGAGTATATACAACAATTAAATAATGAGCTATTAAAAATTCCTCACTATCGGGTACACCATTTGCTTTTCACCGCAATCGTAGTTGGTGGGACTAACTTTATTTTTACTTGTAAAATATATATCATTATATAGTATAAAACAAAGTCGCTGTCGCTGTCTGTCCGTCCCTATGTATGCTTAAATCTTTAAAACTACGCAACGGACATTGAAGCGGTTTTCTTTAATAGATAGAGTGATTCAAGAGGAAGGTTTATATGTATAATACATGTACACCCGGGTAAAGCCAGAGCGAGTAGCTAGTAGTAGTATATAATAGTACGATAACATGCTCGTAGTTTTTTAAATATATTTTTAAAAATCTGCGCATATATGACATGTCGGTATTAATTTTTACAAATTATATTATATTAACCTATTGTGGTAATTTATCTGAATGTATCCAATAATCCCGATAAGTTGAGTAAGAAATCATATCTTACATAAACAGCTTTTCTTTATTTGAGCTTTTGTACATAATACAGAACTTTTAATATTACAGTCGAGCCGCCACAAATTCGTCATAGTTTCGGAGAGCAAACCCTACGTTCTGGCCCTTCACTACGATTGAAATGCGTTGCATCCGGCAATCCTACTCCCGATATCACATGGTTTCTTGATGGCGACAAACTGTCCAGCGGCGAGCGTCTGCAAATTGGTCAATTCGTCACAGCTGATGGAAACGTTGAGTCGCACCTTAACATTTCATCAGTACAGACCAACGACGGTGGATTATACTCATGTGTCGCGCTAAGCAAGGTATTATTTCTTTATTGACAAGTAGTGAATATTTATTATTATAATTTGGTCAATTTATTATAAATAAAGAGAGCCATATTCAGAGTACCGCATCCTATTAAAATAGGAAATAAATATAAAAGAGTCAAATTATGAATCCAATAAAATTAGAAGACGCATTATTCTGTTAATTTATATATTAAAATAATTAAACAAAATATATATACCCATAACAATCTTATTACGTAAGATCTATTACATATCACATGACTGTCCGTACATTGGAACTTTGTTATATTAGTAATTTTTCGAGCTCATTTTAGTTTATTTCTAAAATAAATCTACATGTAAAGAGGTACCGCTGCTAAAGTAATTTACACAAACAAATAGACATAAGCACCACAATTTAAAGTCGAATAAAAATTAGAAGAATGGTTAACGTGTCGTTTACTTTATTACTATTTGAAACAAATCGTACGAGTTTATCAACACAAATTAATTTATAGAAGTCAAAGTTTTATACATATAAATTTATTTACTAAATAAATTATTATTCTTCTATCTATCTTTATTCTCCTCTGATTAATCCAGTTTAGAGCAATCATGCTATATGAAATATCGTAAAATTTTCAAAGTGTTATATGTATATTTTCAGGTTGGCAGCGCGTCGCACTCTGCTCGCGTAAATGTTTACGGCCTCCCTTACATCCGCCCGATGAAGAAACGACCAGTTGTCGCTGGAGATACTCTCATCGCACACTGCCCCGTGGCCGGATATCCCATCGACTCTATTATATGGGAGAGAGATGGCCGGTTAGTTTTAGTTATTAAATTTAAGCATTAATAACTTAGTCTGTACAGTAACCATTTTATGTCAAAATTACACTGGAAAATTGGCCGGTTTAAAATATATGTTCAGAACCTTCGGTTTGTATGTCCAATCAGTACTTTACCAGCTTCTCTCATAATGTTTAATGCCATCATTACAAATGAACAAGTATTTTGAAATTATGGTTCTGTTGACCATTTTATTTACGAATAATAATAATGGCAATCTGTGCTAAGTTAAACATTTGTGTTATTGTAATCCAATTACATATATTTCAAATACATTAAGTACCAATTTTTTTTGGAAAACCATATAATATACTACGTCTTTCTTGCAGAAATTTACCAATCAACCGCAAGCAGAAAGTGTTCCCCAATGGAACTCTCGTCATTGAAAACGTAGAGCGTATCAGCGATCAAGCCACATACACTTGCGTAGCCAAGAATTCACAAGGTTACAGTGTCAAAGGAAATCTCGAACTTCAAGTCATGGGTAAGTTAACCATTACAATTATATGATAGTACCTATTGATTTCAGTAAACAATGTAGCTGAAATGATGGTGATGTTAGTTGAGCAAGATACAAAATGCTAATCACATTACTATCACATATCCGTAAAATTGTGACAATCTATTAAGAATAAGCTGAATAAGCTTAAGAAAGTGTTAAATTACTTGAATAAATGGCTAAACAAAATAAAAATACAAAATTGACTTTATTTTAATACTTTGGTCAATTTAGTCGAATGGTGAAATACAAACACATTTGTATACGTACTTTTGTCACAAATATAATCTGGTGTCATAAGAAGTATATAAGTTATATAATAAAGACAAATTTAACATTTTTATCTTGCTCATCTTAAAACTAAGGTCTATTATGCAGATTTTATTAAATGATTATTACAACTGCAATGTACCTAGATATAATATACCTAGATAGACAAATAGCAATAACGCTATATAGATGGACTTCAGTTTATATTGACTTGAACCGTAAAATAAAATCATAAATGAAATTAATATTTGCACAATACATGATTTTGAGTCATATCAATACATATTGATTTAATATTCACAGAGGTTGAAAACCATTTACAAGTTAAACACTAGATATAACTTACATTGTTTTTAAATTAATTAAGATAATTTGACAGTAGTAGGTAAAATAAAGGTTTAAGAGATAAAAGGTAACTAATTAAAAATCTGTTTACGAACAATTTATATACAACTAGAAAACATGCAATGTCACTTGTTATGTAATGTCATGGTCTGCTCATTTAGAAAAAAGTGCCGTAGATAATATTAACTAATTGTGACATAGTTTTAACGAAAAAGAATAATCAAAATAGAACCCATATCAACAAATAATGGCGTAATAACTGACATAACTACGATTAAATTAAAGCTCTTTCATTTTCACGATTAAATTGTTGTTAAAATATATGATAATTTAAGTAAAACTATGACGTTACATAAAAAATATGTTACACTAATAAATTTCTCTTCCAGGATATTAATATAAAAAACTATTTACTTTTATAAATATTTACGTACTTACTTTAAATCTTAACTGTTAAGAGATAAGTTAAATCTCAAATAGAAAATATTTAATATCTACCCGCCAAAGCTACATCGTTTGTCACACACGTTCCTGCACTGTTGTTGTGTTCCTTTAATGACAGTTTTATTTAGTGTCTCCGCAAATATTACCGTTTGAATTCGGAGACCAACCTGCAAATGCTGGAGAATCGACCTCAGTGTCGTGCGCAGTGAGTAAGGGAGATCAACCTCTCGACATAAAGTGGATTCTCAACGGACAAATCCTTATAAAAAATAACAATTTTGGAATACAATTATTGGCTGTCAACAAAAAGACCTCTATTCTAAACATAGATTCAGTAAACGAAATACATAGAGGCACTTATTACTGTGTGGCCACCAACCCGGCAGGATCCACTAATCACACTGCAGTTCTTGAAGTTAACGGTATCCATAGCTCTACATAAAGTAACCTAAAGATTTTTTTGTAGTTTATTTATTTGAAAAAATTCCTTTAATCCTATACCACTGACATAAACTAAAATAGCTGTTCTTCCATAAGTTGAGTCCAGGAACATGATATGCCGTAATACGAACAGACTTAAAAGTGCGAAATAAAATACAAGATATAACATACATGCCAAAGAAAACTAACATAATATTGAATACTGCCTTAATATTTTCTAAGATTTATTTACAAAGTCTATTTGTGTTCATACAGTGCCACCCCAAGTTTTATCATTCGAATTTGGCGACGAACCAGCAAATGCTGGCGATACTGCTTCTGTTCAATGCGTTATGCATAAAGGCGATCTGCCGGCTAATTTTTCGTGGAGCCTAAACGGAAAAAGAATAGATCAAACAAACTACATGGGTATTGCTATAGGCCGAATGAGTCCAAAAGTCACATTCTTGAATATCGACTCCGTAAATGGAACACACAGAGGACTGTATGCTTGTCACGTCGAGAACTTGGCTGGTCAAGTGAATCATAGCGCAAAACTAGAAGTCAATGGTTCATTTCCAAATTATTATTGCATTTGTAGTATATAATAATATATTGTTAAGTTATATATATTATGTAGATAAAATATGTTATTTTAATAGTTCTACCACAAATCCATCCATTCACTTTTGGGGAGGAGCCAGCCAATGCAGGAGATACTGTTGGCATACAGTGTATGGTGACGAAAGGCGACGCGCCTATAAATATTACTTGGTATCTAAATGAGAAACCTATTAAAAAAATTCAATGAGTTAGTATCACGAAGATCGGTCATAAATCGAGCAGTTTAGCGATTGATGCTGTTGGCTCTATTCATACAGGAATTTATACGTGTTTCGCATCAAATCAAGCGGGACATGCTAATTATTCATCTGAGTTGTCAGTAAATGGTACATTTTTCATATTATGCTTATTGGCAATCATAAATTATGTTTAATAATTGTTTGTCCCTAATATTCCTTACCTTTATCTATCAAAAATTACACCTGATAACGGTACACCTGAGTCTTTAAAATTAATTTTACTAATATTATTTGGCATGATCGATATCATTCAGAATATTATCAGTAATATCGATAAATTAGACTGATCATTCTGTACATGAAAAATACTGACCAAATTTTTTCTTAACCTGTCAATTAGAAATTAGGATTACCTACACATATTATAGGTACCTTATCTAACATGATTTTTTAGATCACTATCACAAGGAACGCACGAATCCGTATAATACGAGTAACTATATATATATAGTATATTTCTATTAGAAGTTGCAATATAAATAATTCGTTTTTATCGATACAGTTCCACCCCAAATTTCTCCTTTCGATTTTGGTGCCGAGCCGGTGAATGCTGGGGATACTGCTTCAGTTCAATGTGTTATGCACAAAGGCGATTTACCAGCAAATATTTCTTGGAGTTTAAATGGAAGAACAATATCACGAACTAACACTTTGGGAATTGTAATTGGCAGTATGAGTCTGAAGGCGTCTTTCTTGAGTATCGACTCAGTGAATGGAACACACAGAGGAGTGTATGCTTGTCACGTCCAAAACTTGGCTGGTCAAGTGAATCACAGCGCGTTATTAGAAGTCAATGGTTCCTATGCATACAACCTATTAGTTATTCATGTAGTGCTGAGTAGATATTTTGTTCCTACTAATTTGTAATGTTATTCGTTAAAACAGTTTTACCCCAAATCCATCCCTTTACGTTCGGCGAGGAGCCAGCCAATGAAGGCGATACAGTTGGCGTGCAGTGTATGGTAACAAAAGGCGACGCACCAATTAACATCACTTGGTATCTAAATGGAAAAATCGTTAACAAATTACAAGGAATTACTATTGCAAAGATCAGCCATAAACTAAGCAGTTTATCTGTTGATTCTGTCAAATCAATTCATACTGGAATATACACATGTTTCGCTTCTAATCTGGCTGGAAATACTAACTATTCCTCAGATTTATCAGTAAACGGTAATATACTAACTAATAAAAAAAACCTAACGTGTAGTACGATAACTTTTTATTATGAGAATTTTATTTCAGTTCGTATACTCGTATTTTGTTTCATGCTTTCCTTATTTCCCAAATGAACCCTGAAAGTTCTTAAATATACAAACAGAGGTAATAATATACATACCTTGAGATTTCATTAAAAAGACGGTAGGGTTAAAGTATCTCTGTATTGTGATGTCACTAATACAAATAAATTCAATAGTTGTGCCGCAGGTTACGCAATTTAATTTCGGTGAAGATATCCTAAACGCTGGAGACACTGTGTCGTTGACATGCACTGTTGGAAAAGGAGATTTACCTCTAAAAATACACTGGCAACTGAATGACCAGATTCTGTATTCAGGGAATAATAACGGTATAATAATAAATAGAAACGGGAAAAGAATATCAGTTTTGAGTATAGATAATGTACAGCACGAACACATTGGTAATTACACCTGTATCGCTGAAAATGATGCTGGCCACAGTAGCCATAGTGCCGTGCTCAACGTCAATGGTATATTTTTTAGATATGATTGGATTGTTTATTGACACCTCGCTTGTTTATTAATATTTGCACATGTTTCTGTCATTTTTATTCAGATTTGTGTTATTTGATTTTTTATTACGCTTTTTGTTTTATCATTGACGTCTCATATTTAGTTTAATTTTAAGTTTGTTGTCATTCACAATTATCAATCAAGATTAAATTTCTAAAATTGGTTCTGACTCATTGTATTTGTATCCTTAAAATAGCGTTTCTCGTAAAATTTCTCTACATTAAAATAACTGTATTTTTTAATATAGTATGAATAGGTATTTAATAAATAATTAATTAATCCATAACTAGTTGATAAATATAGACTTAAGTAAGTAAACATTCAAATGGATAGTCATATTCGTACTTCATAGCTGACTTGTATTCCTGCAGTCCCTCCACAGATAATGCCTTTTGAGTTCGGCGAGGAATCATTTAATGCACAAGATATGGTTTTCGTCACTTGTGGGGCTAGCAAAGGAGACTTGCCATTAAAAATTGATTGGTATTTTAATGGAAAAATAATACAAAATAACGATAATGGAGTTGTTATCTCGAAGAACAGTCGTATGAGTCAGCTTCATATTGAATCTGTCACCCATAAAAATCAAGGCAATTACTCCTGCGTAGTGACAAACGATGCTGGTTCCGTGAATCATACCGCACAACTCATTGTTAATGGTATATTTTTTTCAACTCTCTACTGCCTCAAGAGCCTGCTAGATGTAGTGCCTGTCTTATGTGAATCTTTAAATAATTTGTTATTCCCTTTTTACTGTGTAACTTTGGCGGGTCATAACGGGTTTTTTTTTAAGTTTGTTTAATAAATATTAGTGATTCATAAAAAAACATACATACTTAATTTAAATATTCCGCAAAAAATAATAGTAACTAATAAATAGGTCTCCATGGAAATCGAACATTTCAGTGGCGCCGAGTATAACTCCTTTCGAATTCGATGAATCAATTTTTTTTGGAGAAGGAGTCCAAATAATGTGTCATGTTCCAAAAGGAGACAAACCTTTAAATTTCAAATGGAGTTTTAGTGGTGGCGATGTGAGTTTATTACCCGGATTAAACATCATGAACGTTGGGGACAGGGGGTCAGCTCTTATAATCGCTGCGGTGACGGCTAAACATTCTGGCAATTACACATGCACCACATCCAATATTGTCGCCACAGCTAGCTACCACGCCAAGCTCAATGTTAAGGGTGATGTCCTGCTTTATTAAACTTAACCTTTGTATCCGATATTTCATATCACTTGGTACATGTATATACCTATATACATGTACCTAGTAAAATAAGTTATGTATTTTATGTAGAAATTTAGTCGTCTTTCAGTGGCACCCATTTTGACCGCTTTTGAATTCGATCAAGCTGTCTTTTATGGAGAAAGCACACAGGTTATGTGTCATATTCCTAAGGGCGATACGCCTTTGAATCTTACATGGTCGTTCCGTGGTCAGCCTTTAAAACCACATATAGCATTAACTATCACAAAAGTAGGAGACAGAAGCTCAATATTAGCTATCGCTGCTGCGACAGAAAAACATTCTGGAAATTATACCTGCACAGCTTCAAATATCGTAGCAAGCGTGAACCACACTGCTGTATTAAATATCCAGGGTACAATAATTCTAGGTTTTTCATTGCTTTTTTTTATGATTTTCTTTTTCCCCTTATTAGTTCCTCCACACATCGTTCCGTTCGAGGCTGAAGAGCCAGTCTTTGCTGGAGAATCAGTACAATTGAACTGTCATGTATCTAAAGGCGATATTCCTCTTACTATAACTTGGAGTTTTCACGGGGAGGAACTATCTTCACATCAAGGAATTACCACAATGAAGATCGGCGAGCGATCGTCCTTATTGACAATATCTAGTGCAACTGCAAGTAATAGCGGCGAATATTGGTGTCACGCTGCAAATCGTGCCGGCGTGGCGGTCCATTCTGCCTCGGTTAATGTTCATGGTATAAAAATATCTCATTCGCGCCCTTGCCTCTATCGCACGTTACTCGCTTGCCTAAGTAATAAATTTGGCCTTATAAATTAACAGTAATGCCATACATCGTACCATTCGAAGCGGATGAATCGGTGTTTGCTGGAGAATCAGTTCAGCTCAACTGTCATGTGTCTAAGGGTGACTTACCAATTGACATCAAATGGCACTTCCATGGGTTTGAAAACATCACATCACATCTCGACATTATGACTACTAAAATGACATCACGCGCTTCATATCTGTCTATCGTTGCGGCAATGGCCGAGCATAGTGGCAACTATAGCTGTGTTGCCACCAACAGTGCCGGCTCAACTAACCATTCCACTGTCCTTAATGTTCATGGTCAGTTTTGATTTATAAAAAACTGGTATAAATTATTATTTACTACAATTAATAAATGCTTTTGTTTATTTTGTTTTACATAATCACAGAACCAGCATGACTATGTTATCAGATTTCTGTTATTTCTCTTTTATTTCCAATAATTTTCTTTTTGGTACAGTTACACCGAATATTTTACCATTCGACGTCGATCAAGCATTATTTTATGGCGAATCGGTGCAAATGATGTGCCATATATCCAAAGGGGACACTCCCCTGAATGTGTACTGGCAATTTAATAGTCAAGCATTATCGCAACAACTAGGAACTTTCTCAAAAGTAGGCGACCGCTCCTCTGTACTCGTACTACCATCTCTCACTGGTGCTCACAGCGGAAACTACACTTGCATCGCAAAGAATCGCGCAGGAGTAGCTTCTTACACTACGCTGCTTAAAGTGATCGGTATTTTAATATCCCATGGAATTATAGACGTTTTATTTTAAAATTATGGTTAATTTGTTTATTAATTTATTCCTTTCCATGCTTATTCAATTTAAGTGGTTCCACATATAATACCATTTGAAGTTGAAGAATCAATATTTGCTGGTGAATCGGTACATCTTACATGTCATGTATCGAAAGGTGATCGTCCATTACAAATATCGTGGAGATTTCAAGGAAAAGAAATACCTTATCATAATAGTATGGGCATAACAACCACCAAGCTTGGAGAAAAAGCTTCTGTTTTAAGTATACCGACTGCAATGGGCCAGCACAGTGGGAATTATACTTGTACAGCCAGTAATCGTGCTGGGCGAGTTCATCACTCTGCTCTTGTCAACATTCATGGTATTAGATCTCGCCCCTTTCCTGTCCAAGATATGTTATAATTATTACTCCAAACAATAGAGCATTTTAGACAACATTGCACGATAGAATTTAACTTACAATTTACCGTTTCTTTTCTTTCTAATCAGTTCCTCCCCATATATTGCCATTCGAAATCGAGGAATCGATATATTATGGAGAATCAGTACAAATGACCTGCCATGCTAGTAAAGGAGACCAACCTATGTCTATTACCTGGACTTTTGAGGGCAAAGACGTCGCATCACATACGGGGATTAAAACAATCAAGATGGCGGAACGAACTTCCTTCTTATCTATAGCTTCTATTACTGGTACTCACAGTGGAAATTATACATGTATAGCAAAAAACAGAGCGGGGGAAGATAGATATTCTACTAGTCTTCACGTTAAGGGTATTGCCATTTAAAAGTTGCAGCATGCCTTTACTATTTCCCCTACTAATATATTTTAAATATTTTTGCTTAGTTGTTCCTCACATCAAACCTTTTGAATTGGATGAAGCGGTATTTGCGGGCGAATCCGTACATCTTGATTGTCACGTATCTAAGGGTGATACGCCTTTGAATATATCTTGGAGCTTTCAAGGAAAACCAATTACATCTCGAATGGGGTCAAAGATTATGATATTGAGTGAACGTGTCTCTGTTCTGGATATTCCAAATGCATTGGGTCAAAATAGCGGCAACTACACATGTACTGCATCCAACAGAGCGGGTACCATCAGCCACACTGCTCTTCTAAACGTCATCGGTATTAATATTTAATATGTCGGATAATTCTTGCTTTTTCTGTAGTTCCTCCTGTGGTCCAACCCTTCTCATTTGGGGAAGTTGCCATGAACTCTGGACAAGTGGTCACTGAACCTTGTTCGGTTATTGAGGGTGATCATCCTTTGCAACTACGATGGCTTTTTAATGATGAGCCAATTAAACCCAGATCCGGCGTAACCGTATTTAATATTGGAGAAAGAAGCGCTATTCTCAGTATCGGTGCAGTATCACATAGTCATGCCGGGAATTATACATGCATTGCGGAGAATGCAGCTGGAAAACAATCTCATACTTCGACTTTAACTATTAACGGTGCTTATCCGGTGTTCTAAAACTTCATGTCTATTTAGTTTCTACAACTGTATCTGTTTTACCTTACAATTTTCTGTTGTGTTGTTTTAATATCACACATACTCCATAACATGATTCCAGTCCCTCCAAATATTCTGCCGTTCAAATTCGGCGAAAAACCCGCAAACGTCGGAGAATATTTACAAGCAGCGTGTACTATTAATCTTGGTGATCTTCCCCTCACAATCACATGGATGGTTAATGGGCAACCCATATCGCAAAGAAACAATAATTATGTTATAAATAACTCGAAACGAAGTAGTTTACTTATAATAGAATCCGTAGATGCCAAGCACGCTGGTTCATATATGTGCATTGGAAAAAATCGTGCGGGAAGCACTACTTATTCTGAAGACTTAGTCGTTTACGGTTAGTCATCCTACAATACATTCATTTACTTATCTTAGATACTTAGATAATATTTGTTTCAGTTCCTCCTAAAATTGCGCCTTTCGTTGCCGAGCCAGAACCGGCGTTTCTCGGTGATTATTTTGCTCTTCAGTGCATAATAACACACGGTGATCAACCACTACGCATCGAATGGATGGTCAATAATAAATCAGCCAATTTTATTCCTGGAATTCGTGTCAGTAACATCGACCGCAGAAGTAGTTTTATTACCATAGAATCTGTAGATGCAAAACATGCGGGTGTATATAATTGTACTGCGAGCAATGCAGCAGGCATCTCTTCACTTACGACTGAACTAGTCGTAAAGGGTGCGAACAACAATCACTTACATAATGCTTCTAATTTCCTCCTTATCAATATTATTCATACGTTTCTCGTTTCTTTATAAAATTTTTATTGTCCCAGTTCCACCGTTAATTGTGCCGTTCAGTTTTGGTGAGATGCCCTACAATCCGGGAGATACAGTAGTAGTGAACTGCGTTGCTACGAAAGGAGATCTGCCTCTCGACATTTCGTGGACATTCAGCAGTGAAACTTTAGACTCCAGCCTTCACCGAGACATCATGACAATGCAACTAGGTCCACGCGCTTCCGCTCTTACGATCAATCCGGTCAGCGCGAACCATCAGGGAAACTATACTTGCATCGTGCAGAACGCAGCTGGCCGCGTCGAATATGCTGCTACTCTCGTCGTCAACGGCACGTTTCTAAATAATATAATTATATAACGTCGTTAACCACGGGAACTAACACACAAATTCGCACCTGAAGGATGAAATTGATCACCGATACCACTATTTTTTATTATATTTTCACAAGTCGCTAACATTGCCTGCAGATCTAACCTAAATTCATATGGTTGTTTCCAGTAATACCTCGCATAGTTCCGTTCTCATTTGAGACTCCGCTTTACGCGGGACAAGCTACTCAAGTCACTTGTTTAGTCTCAGAAGGTGATCACCCCCTGGAGATTCAGTGGCATTTTGAAGGGAAACCTTTAAAGGAAAAGTCTGGTGTAATGGCCACCAAAATTGCACAACGAGCTTCATTGCTCCTCATTGACCCGGCTGGATAGTCACACAGCGGCTCTTATGCGTGTCTCGCACGCAATGCTGCCGGCTTTTCCAACTATACTGCCACATTAGAAATACATGGTATACATGCAGATGTCTGTGTAACCTCACTCCTAGCACGGAAAAGCTTTGCATAGAATATAGGAGAAACGCTTGAATCTATTATTAATGTAGGCAATTATTGTTGTAGGATTAGATTATCGAAACAAAAAAATGTTTCTATTTAGGTGCCATAATATCTTCCTCAATTTGAGCCATTTTCTTTCCGGGTTTATTGAGTTTGCAAATATAAATGGCCTTATAAGTAATGCAGTATAAGTTATTGACATAATTATGGATAAAGACGTCGAAATCGTTGTTATTAGGAACAGGCTGCGGCTCTCATCGATTCCATTTCTTCTTCCTTTCCTTGCATTTTTAATATCCTTCCTTCCAATTCCTTGGGTTCCTCTACATTTTTTTTTATTTAATTTACTGGTATTGTTTGCTTTACTGTGTGTATGTGTGCTTTGCGTTGACTAATTCGATGATGGAGTAAACTAGTAGCTTTTTAAAATTAAATTCGAAGTTTTAAAGTGAACACATTTATTTTAAGTGCTAGTTTATTTCAACACAGCTTTAATGCGTTTGTCATGCTTTTTATTTTTATTTATTTATTGTTCAATATTGTTATGTTCTAGTTAATAATAGTCTAAAATAAATATTTAGTAGTATAATGAGTAATTAAAAGCTTCTAATGTAACAGCTTTGCAAAATACTTCCTTGTTTCATTTTATTAATATTCATATCTATAGTTGCCACCAAGAGCTGAAGTGTATAGAAGCTTTTAAATATATTTTAATTATTAAAAACTAGAATTCTGATCTGATCTTAAAACCACACACTGAAAATTTTGATAAGAAATATAATTAATTGTACTGTAATAAATAATACTCATGGCTTGTTTGTATTCTAACAGAATCCTAGTTTTCCATTGAGATATGATATTTTCATCATACAGAAAGAAACAATAATTTTGGCAAACAAGCATAATATCTGCCTGATGGTAAGCGGATAAACTGGTTAATCAGATTCATGTTGACCATTTGTTGCTGTTGAGGTGAACATAGCACATATCTGTATTATAAAGTAGTGTGTCCCTTTTTCAAACAAAAAAATATATTATTACTTATTTATTTGACAACAACAATACATAATAAATTAGTAAAATTTTAAATATTTCAGTTTAAAATCTTTATAATTATGTTATTAATTGTTGTAATTTATTGTAGTCGTTGTAACGAATTATACGTTTTCAGTTCCTCCACGTTGGATTTTGGAACCTACTGATAAAGCTTTTGCGCAAGGTTCAGATGCTAAGGTTGAATGTAAAGCCGATGGTTTTCCTAAGCCTCAAGTTACATGGAAGAGGGCCGAAGGTGGATATGTAATTTCTATTCACTCCGTGATGTTACTGCTATCAGTTAAAAAGATCGAATTATACTATATCATTTAAATTGCAATAATCGTATTTTTATTGAAGGAGACACACCTGGCGACTATAAAGACCTAAAGCCAAACAATCCTAATGTAAAAGTGGAGGATGGAGCATTAACTATTGATAACATCCAAAAAACAAATGAAGGTTATTACCTCTGTGAAGCTGTCAATGGAATTGGATCTGGACTATCTGCCGTAATCTTAATTAGTGTTCAGGGTAAGATTTTTTATTTTATTTTATATTATAGTGTAGTTTCAATACAAAACTATTTAAAACTCAATATATTACAGCACCACCTCAGTTCGAAATTAAAATGAGAAATCAAACTGCACGTCGAAGTGAACCAGCTGTATTACAATGTCAAGCCAAGGGTGAAAAGGTAAAATGTATTATATTATATCTATATTGCATGATAATATGAACAGCAACCTTCATAGCTTACTTTTTTAACAATGAATATCATATTTTCAAAATCAATTAATTACAGCCTATTGGAATAATCTGGAACATGAATAACAAACGCCTCGAACCAAAATTAGATCCTCGCTACACTATTCGAGAAGAAATTCTTTCTGGAGGAGTTGTTTCTGATTTAAGTATTAGGAGAACGGAACGATCAGATAGTGCATTATTTACTTGTGTAGCTACCAATACCTTTGGCTCTGATGATACCAGTATCAACATGATTATTCAAGGTAACGAAAAATAGTTGATATTTAAAAAGACACTTATGAGCGTAGAGAGAAACAACGTAATTAAATATTATGTATCATTTACAGAGGTTCCTGAAGCACCTTATGGTTTGAAAGTTTTGGACAAATCTGGGAGAACTGTACAACTTTCGTGGGCTGCACCTTACGATGGAAATTCGCCTATCAAGAAGTTCCTTATTGAGTACAAACGTGCTAAGGGTACCTGGGAAAAAGATATTGACAGGTACTAGTAAATTGTCATTGTAGTAAATTCATTAATTATTTTGCAGCAAATGTCTATGTAAAAAATATTTTTCAGAGTTCTTGTCCCTGGTGACGCTACAGAAGCTGGTGTATTTAGTTTACGACCTGCCACTGCTTACCACATAAGAATTGTAGCTGAAAATGAATTAGGTACTTCAGAACCATCGGAAACCGTAACGATTATCACTGCTGAAGAAGCTCCAAGTGGCCCACCCCAAGATGTAAAGGTAGACGCTGTAGATAGACATATATTGCGGGTAACATGGAAACCTCCCCCGCCCCAGGATTGGAATGGCGAACTCCAAGGGTAAGTTTTCAATTCCTTTGATACCATTAAAATACATTATTATTAAGCGAATAAAGGTTTTTTTTTTAATCGTTAATATAAATATTTATCCATTTGTAGGTATTATGTTGGTTACAAACTGGCTTCAAGCAACAAATCATTCGTATTTGAAACAGTTGATATCTCAAAGGAGTCTGGCAAAGAACATCATCTCGATATTTCGAATTTAAAGTAAGTAGAGCAAATCACATAGTTTATTAAGATTAGAAAATCTGATTAAAAACTTGGTTAATTTTGAGATGTGCCTATAATTTATTAAAATATCAACTTTTATAGAACCTACACCCAATACGCTATGGTGGTTCAGGCATTTAACAAAATGGGTTCTGGTCCGGTATCTACTGAAGTTAAAGCGTACACTGCTGAAGGAGCTCCGTCTGCCCCTCCTCAAGATGTTTTCTGCACTACTCTTACTGCACAAACTATTCGCGTTTCATGGGTTTCACCTCCTCTTACCGCTGCAAATGGTCTTATTAAAGCCTACAAGGTGATATATGGACCTAGTGGAACTTGGTATGGTAAGTATTTTGATATAAATTTTATTTTATTTAGCATTTTGTGGATCAAATTCAAATACTCCACTTATTTATTTTATTAGATGAAAAGACCAAGGACACCAAAATTACGGCAAGCAGTGAAACAATCTTACATGGACTCAAGAAGTATACTAACTACTCAATGGAAGTGCTAGCTACTACAAACGGAGGTGATGGTGTACGATCTACCCCAATCCACTGCCAAACTGAACAAGACGGTAACCATATTAAATATGTGAAAATTATTACAAAATTTAGATAATTTATTTATATTTTCAAAACACGATTTTATAACAGTATTTAAAAACGTATAATATACTTTTAAAATCTATGACAATAAGTTTAATTACAATTAATCAAACCACGCCTGCGAATGAATAATGCCTTGTAAAATATTACTTAAGGTGTCTACTGAAGTTTTAAAAAACTTGTGTAAGTAAATATTTTATGTTAAAGAATTAGGTATATATGTAAGAAATCGGTATATCTTTATATAGGTAAGTAAAATATAAGATAGTTAAAAACATCGAGACCCATTTTCATAAGTATGTACTATATTTTTAACAGTTCCCGAAGCACCTCGTGCTGTAAAAGCTCTTGTCATGGGACCTGATTCAATTCTTGTATCCTGGAGACCTCCAGCACAACCCAACGGTGTTGTTACGCACTACAATGTATACACGCAGGCACAGAACGCTGAACCGCATCCCAACAAGGTATTGTTATTGTATATGAGATAAATTAATATTCTGAATTCCATATTTCACAGAGAATAGTTCCTTGTGAAATATGAAATAATAGTAATGTTTCATATTTACGTTCGTCTGTAATCAATAAAACAATGTGTATATGTGATTAAAGAAACTATTGATATGGCTTTATTTACGTGATATAAAAGTTTATTGAAAATTATAGCTCACATTCGCAAAACCTTATTCTTAGCCAAAAGTACTCACTTAAAAAAGTATTCCAGGTTCCTGCATCTCAAACCAGCTACTCTGCAACAGACTTGAAAGCCGGTCGATATGATTTCTGGGTTACTGCTTCTACCATTATTGGCGAAGGGCAATCTTCAGCAACGGCTTCTTGCAGCCCTAGTGACAAAGGTAATTTTAATTATGTATCGAGTATAAACATGTTCGTCTACATACATTGAAATGTGTTTAGTAAATTAAAAATTATATATATTTTTGCCAGTTCCCGCAAAAATTGCTTCCTTTGATGAGTCGTTCATTGCTACCTACAAGGAAGACGTAAAGCTGCCGTGCCTTGCCGTCGGCGTGCCTCCTCCAAACATTTTGTGGAAGGTATATTACATACAAGTTGCTATTTCAATAACACCAAATGTACGTCTTATGTACATAATATCAATAAAACCCTTAGTGCTCAACTTTGGTAAATATTAATATATGGTAATGAAGGAAATGATGTGGATAATTACCTTTGTAATTGCTTTTAATTACTTAGATGAAGACTACAGTGAATTCTTTGTGCACTCAGGTCAAGGGACAACCTCTGGAAACATTGGAACGTATACGTCAACTGCCTGAAGGGTCGCTTCAGATTGCTGGAGTAGCGCGCGAGGACGCCGGCGAGTATTCATGTCACGTGGATAATCAATTTGGCACAGACACCGTTACCCACACGCTCTCTATTCTTGGTTAGTATCGAGGTTTTGGAACTTAATGGATTTATATTATTTTGTTAAATTCCATTACCAATAGTATAAGACGACTGATATTCGATGCGGGAGTCCTGAACACTAATGCTAGAAATATTATAACTTTCCTTATTAATTACTGACTGAGACCCATATCGCGACATAAACGAGCCTCATCAGGCAATTAATATAGCTTACAAGATACTGTTAGACAGTTTTGTGACTGTGAAAAACACATAAGTCACTGTGGCCGGTATCAAAAATAGCGGGATATTGTTTTTATTTACACTGCTATTGGAAGTAATTATAGACTGGTTTGCAATTACAGTTACATTATTATAAGCTGTAGTTATATTATTATAAAATTACATGAATATATAACTGCCAACTCCATATTCTGCAGCGCCACCCTTCCCCCCACAACTGACTATTGCGGCGTCGTCGGTGTCATCACTCACTCTGCGCCTGAAGCCATCTGACGAAGCTGAACAATCACCCGCCGCCGGTTACTCTATACACTACAAGCAAGAGTTTGGAGACTGGGAAACTGTTCAGGTCAGCTACATTTATGAAATTGAATCTATAAGTTACAGGCAGAGTAAATCTGAAGTACGTTTTGTTTTTTATTTTCCTAAACAACACCTTATTCTGCGATAATGAAATCTGTAATCAACTGTCGGTAAGTAAATTAGAAATTGTTTAAATTATTGTTCATAATATTTGTCAAATAATATTCTGACTAATATTTTGAACACTAATTTAAACAATTTCTAATTTACAGTAAACCTATCTATACCTACATTAATAATAATAATAAACTTTTTTCATAAATGTACGGTACAATTAAATATAGTTAGCCCTGGCTTTCGATATAGGTGAACCTGTGCCATGAAAGCCAGCCAACATTCTGTAAACATTTTTGGTACATTTGCAGTTGTGTACATAAAGGAATGAAAAAAAAACTTAAATACTTTTGAATAAAAAAAAAACTAAATGTATAAAAGAGACGCTATTCTTTCTGGCATACTAGATTGTACAGAACTTTAATTTAACACAATGTAGAAAGAAAAAAAATCAAAGTATTGTATACAAGAAAAATGAGGAAAAAGAAAAAAAATATATATTGTCCATGTCTTTGATTAGGAGTATGGGTATGTGGGTAAGTGTGTGTGTGTATGTATGTGTGTGTGTTATTTATATAGTAATTCTTTTACTATATATGTATGTAATTACCTGAGTTAAATTTTTAATACATTTTCTGTTTGATCATAGTCAAAACCTTTAACCAGGTTTTAGTGTTTTTAGCAGGTTTTTTCATCGTTTTTATGCTGTATCATTTGTTTACTTTATTATATAAGTAAGGCGTATGGAAGTTATAGTGTCTCTGGGCAAAGCTTGTTTTGGCAAATGGTACTGGGCAACGATCAATTCTTTTGTTTTCTACTATAGTTAAATTTGGTATAGTTTCTCTGTGGTACTTCATTATACAATTAACGATATACAACTTTCTAACGCTTAGAACTTACATTGTTTTTTTATTTCAGATTCCTTCTCACACCGATACTTACACATTAGAAAACTTATTTTGCGGATCTAAATATCAATTATATGTCACGGCCTACAACGGGTATGTATTTATTTATATTAGAAGTACTTACGTAACAAAATAAAACTGGGTAACTAGTTATAGGATAGTTTTTTTTACAACACAATAATGATGTTACTCATAGCAGCGTATATATTACATATCATATAAATTGTTTAAAAAAATATGTACATTGAAATGGATATAAAATTACTATATAAAAAAATACAAGGAAAAAAGTAAAAACAATTACCATTAACAACAATAATTATTATTTTAGTAAACTGCAATGAATAGATTATCTATCAGTATGCAATATAGCCACCGCGGAAAATTTTTCATCTCAGCATTATTCTTTCGCCTCCGAACGACCCAATTCAAACGGGGATCGAAATTACGACGACTTGAGCTTGAGCTGAGGTTCGAGCCCTAGCGGTGCCCTCAGAATAAAGTCGTATCCGTCAGGCAGGAGTTGACCTATAGCCGTTTCTTAAGTCCTTCCACGGGGGGGTTACCTAAATACGATGCGAATTAAAAAAACAACTTGTCATTCGGGACCCTTACTTGTATTATTGTTGTAAATAAGTATTCTTACATATCTTCTATCTGTAAATATATCTAGAATCTATAATAGATACATATGTAAAAGATCTCTTTGTATCCTTTCACCTTTCTGCGCTACAAGGAATATAATAAAAGTGAGCCCTATGTGCTACCACTATGATTATTGATAGATGAATATAGTGCACCCGCCTGTACTTAACGGTACCGCGGGGTACCGTTAAATAGTCAACCTGACATGACATTGCTGGTAATAGCGTCACTAGGCGCCATTACTAATCCCCTCTCGACCGAGGGGAGACCCTACTATATTATACATATGTAATGATGTTCAGCCTTAGTGCTAATTTATTATGAAAATAAATATAATGTTGTTGTTTAGGATCGGCACAGGTGAAGCATCGGATGTTGTATTCGCTGGAACTCGTGGCTCCAAACCTCCAGTGCCCAGGGCCACTGACTTCATCGAGGTCGGCAGTTCTTCGGTTACGCTTCACCTTAAACAATGGCTCGATGGCGGCTGCCCTATGAGCCACTTCGTAGTCGAAAACAAAAAGAAGTTAGTATGATTACCTACAGTATCCATTTTTTAGCAAATATGTTTGTATTTATTACATTAAAATACACTAGTATGAGGTGTTTTTAAAATAATAATCATTTCAGGGGCACCGCTGAATGGAATCAAATTTCGAATGCAGTAAAACCAGGCGGCAATTTTGTTGTACTTGGTAAGTATAGTTGGATACCTATATGTAGAGCTTATAGATTGTATGAAAGATGATTGTTACTCTACTTTGCCGAATAGGACCTAGCATAAAATGATAATTATTAAGTACATAAACAGGTTTTCATTTCATATTGCAAAATAATACTATATTTTGCAATATGAAATGCATACATATGATAATGAGCATGAATTCCAACTTTTTTTCGAACTATTCTAATGCTGTTGGCCGCAGCTGGCCTTTACAACTTTACCGAAATATAGGGGACGAGTGCAGATGACACTTAGAGCCACGCGAAAGGACTTATAGGGCAACTTCTGCCTGGCGAATACTACTTTAGTCTAGGCACCGCTAGGAGTTCGAACCTAGGCTCAATTTATTAGTTATATGTACATATATAAATAATAATATTAACGTAAGTATTTAAACAACTTTCAGACCTGGAGGCCGCTACTTGGTATACTTTAAGGATTACAGCACATAATAACGCAGGTTTCAACGTCGCCGAGTATGATTTCGCAACCCTCACTATGACTGGTGGTATGTAATTTAAATATTTAATATATATACTTTTGAGTTTTTGTGATAAATTCAATCGTACGAACGCTTTCTTTTTATTCATCGTTAATTTAATAATTTGTACAAGTGTACCTGAAATGCATCGCCTCTTTAATTCTATGTTTATAATTATTTTGTATGATCTATCACGCACGGAATTTCTTTATAATATGGCGGTTTGCATTTCAGGTACAGTAGCACCCGCACGCGATGTCGGCAACAACTTAACTACCGAGCAGACACTAAAGATTATCCTGTCACACCTAAACCTTATCGTGCCCGTGGTCGCTGCGATCTTAGTCATCATCATCGCTATTGTTGTCGTGTGCGTAGTGCGAGGCACGCGCGACCACCATAAAGGTACTTCACCGTTCATAATTTCTAGGAACTATCGCACCGCTACCCAACAATGTGGACGGCGGCAAGGACTTACCAGTGTGGGTCAAGGCTTGGTTGGAACCCGAAGTATTGGTGCCCATTCTAGCGACTATTGTCGTGTTCATTGTGGGAGTCGTCGTCATCTGTCTTACACTTGCACGTAGAAATGCTCCACATCGGCTGCGAGGTCAGAAGGACGTGTACTGTATGTATGGAGGCATGGATCGCCGCTTATCTCTTATAATTTATATCATTCGACATTTTCCTTAAGTTATAGATGTACTTACCTTAACTATTTGATATAATATGTTTCCAGCATGTAAACAGTGTCAGCGACACACTCATTTTTAGACGTTTTCATTGTTCTAAATTCATTATTTTAACTTATTCTTTGCAATTCGTATTAGTTTTAGCTAACTTCATAAACTTCTGTAAATAACAATATGACTAACAAAGACACATATATGTTGAAATCTTTATAAATAGTTAGTCAAATATTCTATCCGTTTTTTTACATTTTAATATTTTATCCAACTTATCGATTATATCTGCTTGTAATTATTATCTACATACAAGTGAATATATATTATATAGGTCACTACAAAATAATGATGCTACAGTATCTTTGTTGGTTACTGGTGTTAATTGTGAAACCACCTGTACTAATGGTACACATACTGACTGGCGAGGCACAAATGACAAACGATAGAATTAGTCTGAGAGAATGAAATCAGGACATATTATTTTTTATCACGAATTCACTACAAATGTATCTGCAGATGGACATTGTGAAGGTCGTAATGACAATAGTTATGAAAATGTGCCCAATCTCCGACGCATTTCCAACATTGTGGGTTTGTACAGATGATGCAGTGTATAATGCGTCCCAAGCCGCGATGGGCGGAGGCGGAGGCACGCTCGACAAGCGCGGCGGACTGCGTGACGAACTCGGTTATATTGCGCCCCCCAACCGCAAGCTGCCACCCGTTCCTGGCTCCAACTATAACACCTGCGATAGAGTTAAGCGTCAGGCCGTTATCAGTAAGTATGGTATTACTGATTTGATATATTTCATATGCACCTTTTCTTGACCAGTGTACAGTGCAGTGTACAATAGGTCGCACTCACACATCTGGATGACTTGATAAATGGCCACCGCGTCGTCGGATGACTGCTCCAGGATACTTAAATAACTTTTTCTATTTTATTATTATAGCTTTTTTTCTCTATTTGCACGATTTTCCTTTCATTCTTCAGTATTCTTGTCTATGCTGTATTGTAAGAAAATGTAGAAGAGATTTACATTTATAGGTGGAGGTAACTAAAAACCTCTCTAGATTATCAGTTATATGTTCTTACTGGGATTATTATGGTATTTAATTCAAATAGCTATAAACGTTGACAACTTCGGACTAACCTTGTTCCTAATATTATGTTGTTCAAACTTTACTCGGGTTATACGAGTATGTACCTACCTACATTTTGACGGTATAAACCGCTTCCTAAATATATAGGAATGGTAGTGTAAGCCATAACGGTGAACCTTTAATAACATTTAACTGAAGTTTAATTTAAGTTAATCGTAGTTCCAAAATAATCCCAATAGCTATGAATAGTTTATCACTTTATATTTAATAAATATTTAATTTTAGTAGTGTCTATAGTAACACTTATTTTTATCCATCATATTGGCAAAAGCTACAACTTTCATTGTTTTTGCGTGTCCCCTTGCTTAATCCTCAGCTGTGTTGTCCGCTTGATTGTAAAGCGATGTTTAAAATAAGTTATTATCTTCAAATTTAAAAACATCACAAATGGCCAGGAATAGACACTGGTGCATTCATTATCCGTAGATTTATGGAATGCCTCTCAAATATTATCTCGCTGTTGTCTACTCGCGTGTACACTTTAGTTGGTACCTATATTTAATGTTACTTATCTACAGTACCTGGATTAATTACACGCGATGATATAGTATGTACGTTAATATTATATGCGTAATACGTAAGTGTACGTGAGATTTCAAAGCGAGATGGTGTATGGGAGTATGCGGTATATGGTACGCGCATGCGTAACGCAGTAGTGTGGTTCAGTGGGCGCGCATTCTACGTGGGACCCGCGTCGTCATCACTACGAGAGGGTGCGACGTCCTCGTATGCGCCGCACTGGTTCCGGAGACACCATTTCCACAGGTATTCTTTATTAAGTACTCCATGACGTTCCATCCCAAACAGAAATGTCAGCTAAGTATCTGCATATATTTTAGATCTGACGATTACCTATCACAGTTAAAATGTCTAGTTTATTTACATTTACTTGTGTTGGAATGGATCGAAATGTAGAATTTAAGCTAGCATGCTGGTGGCTTCATTAGTTTGTAGATAGCCTTGCCGTGAATTATTTATATATATGAATTTTATTATATAAAATCTTATGTTTATAATTTATGCGATTTATTAACCATAGTTTTAAGTAGGTAAGTCGCAGTCCGACGTGTATGCTACTAACATTGCCCGCTGTGTGCGTATTTGTATAGTAATACTCATTGTATTTCGAGTGTTTAATAATGTATTATATATTATCATAACATACGAGTATATCTCACTACCTGACAAATAACTTCATTATTTCCAACAAGTACTGCACCCCATTTTGTAATATTATCCTGTATTTATTTCAGTTTAAAAAAGCTTTACAAATTAAAACACTATTCAAATTTTAATATGACACTTTGTATAATCTAACAATAAAATGGTCAGGACGTAATAAATGCATAATATGTTACGTGTAAGTAAGTGTTTTACACTTTTCTTAATGGTGTGGTCAACAAAATCAGTTCTCTACAATCTATTATGCCACAACAGAAATATACTTTTACATTTTACAACAGCACTTAGTTCACATTACCATAAAATGTACATTAATATCTTGTGTATAATTCACAGGCATGGAAGATGAAATCTGCCCATACGCGACATTCCATCTGCTAGGCTTCCGCGAAGAGATGGATCCAAGCAAGGCGCTGGCATTCCCGCATCACCATGCTGCGCATGCTGGTACCCTCGCACATCCTCACCCCCACCACCCCGCGCACTCCCGAGCTGGGTCACAGAGCATGGTGAGAATCTCTTCACTGTCTTACAAACGCTATACGAATAAATAGTAAATATGTCTTATAAAAGCTATAAAAGATTCAGCATTTTTACTATTCACCATGTCTTCGTTGTATCAGATCCCACATTTTGTTCGTTATAGTGGATCTAAAAATAGGTAAAACAAACTCGATTTCAACCACTAAGTATACCTATTTTTTGGCTTTTTTGTCTGTATTAATTTAAGGCTTTTTGTCCATTTTTGGTACGTCAGTCCCATCGTACCATACGTATTTGATATGTTATGACATTCTAGTATCTTCTCCTCCTCCTCTTAAAATAATAGTTGTACTATTATTTTAACAATTAAACAAATTTTATTTATTTGCTATGCATTATATATTTGTTTCATTTTATTAAATGAAAATATGAGCTTGAATTATAATGACAACTATAATAATACTTTATTTGCCAAATGTAGGTAAGTATTAGTTTTAAAAATATGTTGTCGAGATCCGTCCGTTGTCCGTATCTGACTAATCTCATGACAGGTGTGCAAAAATCAATTTGTAATTAAAATTGTAACAAAATAGATCAATATCTAATAAAGGTTTTTTATACTTGTCGGTTTCATATATACGACGAATATTTATATAATTACTTACATAAAAATCTCGATAGATTTTCATTCAATTCATGATAAATAAATTATTAATTTTATACACAGCCAAGAGCTAACAGCCGCTATGCCCGTAAGAACTCTCAGGGAGGACAAAGTGCTATTTATTCTACTGCTCCCGAATACGACGACCCCGCTACCTGCGCCGAAGAGGATCAATACGTAATTATTTTAACGACTCGTACTAATAAAAATACTATGTATTTTTCAAATCATTAATATATTCCTTAGTGCATATATGAAAAGCATTACAATAATCATATATTGTACATGGAATTCTAAATAGATTATATATTCATAGAATTACTACAAATATAAGAAGGAAGAACAGTATCTGCTATGGTGTACTTGGTTGGTTACCAAAAAATATTATTACAGATTTACAGACTATGTCTGCTTATCTTACGGAAAAATTGTTTTTCTGATCAATGATCAAATTATTTACCACTCCTAAATTCACAAACTTTCATTTTAATTTATGTTAGTACACTAGATGATGTAAATAGTCGGATTGTCTCATTATAACAACGTGGGCGTGAATTGTTTGCAGCGCGCTCGCTACTCCCGACCTATGTACGCATGCGGACCTGAGTATGACGAACCTGCTTGCTGTGCACCTGAAGACGAACAATATGCCGGCGCTTATGGCACCCCCTATTCCGATCACTATGGATCACGACCTAGCATTGGTATGTATTTTTTTATCCTGTTAGGAAGCATGACACTATTTCATATTGAACTCTGTAACGTATAATGGCAACGAATTTAATTTTTGAAGATTATTCCTACATTGGTTTAATATTGTAGGTTTCATTCTTGATATGGAAATAAAATGTTGGAAATTGAGTATATAAATATAATATAAAAAAATATAGCTGTGACATTAATGACGGACGGATTAACGTTAACATTAGTTCCTAAGTATTGCAATATATGACAAGTTTCATGGGTGGTATGGCATATTATTATTTTTACTCTTCACAAATAGACGGTTATCACTTTCCATCTGATGGGCTTGTTTGCGATTTCAAGTTATATAAAAAATACATGACAGGAACACGCAAGTGCGGCGGATCTCCCGAACCTCCCCCACCACCACCACGTAACGTCAACAACGACAACAACTGCTCCTCCTCATTCAACGAAAGCAAGGATTCGAACGAAATTTCCGAGGCCGAATGTGACCAACCACGCAACTATCCTGGTACGTAGAACCTATGTAAATAAATAAATATATATATGAACAGCAACTAGCATTGCCTACGATTGCTTCCTCATTTGTTCCTCAGTTGAAACATATATCGTTATTCACAAAATCTCTTTATCTATTAATAATTTTAAAATGGTTATAGATAATTAATATAATAATGGATATCAGTACAAAATATTATATTTTGAATTTAATAATATTATAATAAAATTTAATAAAATTGTTCTTCTGACAGGGACACAATTAAATTGAGATTACTGAAAACAAATTGAAACATTTATTTATATATATATATATTTATATAGTCATACTTTTTAAGTAAGATTTTGAATTATACACGTACATAATTTATAACCTATTACGAATATATGATCAATGTTTATTATGTATACATATACACTCTACCTCACTATACGTACATATATTAGTATAATATAAGAAGTATGACGATCAAGATCATCGAGTTATTCGATAAATCACACATCATCCATTTAAAATTCCATATCAAATTAATTGTCGGATTGGTCCATGCACTCATGGGTGTCACCTGAACAGAAGACGGTAAAAATATTTCAGTTCAATAATTAATTTATGTTAATTTTCATTGTGACTGACAGCATGCAAAATGTTTCTCAATACTTATTTCTTAACAATATTGAATCTCAAGCTTACGTATTATAGACGTTTACGCAATTGGCTTTCTAGATTCTTTCTTTCAAAATTACATTCTATATAATAGGTATGTTTGTATTTTTCTACTTCTTACAGTGTGAATTACGCGGCAAAATTAATTATATCAATTTAATAGTGAAACTATTTCTTACCTCGTTAAAAATAACAAAGTATAATTGATGAATTTCTTTAATTATGCCACGTATATACGTACTGAAGGTAACTTAGGGTTTTCAAAATTTTATGAATCATTGATCTTTATGTGCTTAGACGTGATTGTGTTAACTAATTATTTCTATTTAAAAAAATATTGGTTCTGTAGATTTAGTACATCTATGTTTTGGACATTGTAATCATAGAGTATCCACTCTATGTATTATTATTACAATATTTATGACGTGACAGTCATAGAGTGGATATTGTATGATCGGTATCAGTAGAGGGCAGGTGTCTCCGAGTATCGTGTCTAGAGTAGAGCTCGTCGTGACTTGTGTGTTGTTGCAGTCAGGGCCCACACTGCCAAGGACGGCATGCACAGCGAGGAAATGAGGAAACTCATTGACAGGTCAGTTCAACGAGACCTAACGTACCACTCATGCACTACATTTCACCACACCATAAATTGTGACAGCAATTGGAAACAAACTATCATCACGTAAACACTAACCCCATAAGTTACACATAAATTTGGATATGTGAGACACCATACATTTTATTTTCTTTATATTACGAAATTAATAAATTTGTGACAAACTCCTTTGTGTCATTAATCGAAGCTACATATTTACCTATATATAAAAATTAAAGATCAAACAGAAATAAGTAATATTTAAAAAAAGAACAAATTACCTATTTTTGCATGCTGATGCATGCAATCACGTTAAAGTAGTTTCGATTAAAATAATATATTTATTATAAATCTTAATTGTCTAAACATTACCAATTCTCATGGAGGTCTAACATTTTGGTGCGTGTATCAGCCAACATTATATAATTCTATTATATCTAATAGAAAACATACCAACATTTTTTGTATAATATACCTATATATAAATAATTATTTAGTGTCTATCTCTACCAATATCTATCTACGATTTGTGACATTTTCATTCAATTAAGGGGGTCTTCCTATGTGACGGCCTGTTTTTTAGGGATATTTTAGGATTTTTTTTTCTACGACCAGTAAATATTTAGAGCTTCAAGTTTTTTATCATTTATTAACACATATTTGGACAGTATAAATATAAAATTTCAGCTAAAAATATTCAGTCAAACTAGAGTTACAGCGCTCTGAACACCCCCGCCTCGAAAAAAAGAGCTCCCACTTCCTCCGCGATTCCGGCTGATCGGCTTATCTGAAAAAAAAAAAAAACGGCGTTTTAATTTGTAGGCTTAAAAGCACGGAATGACCTATAATCAAATGAATATAAAAAAAATTGGATTTTTGATAGACATTTGAAATAAAAGTTGCAAATTAGGCGTTTTTTTTTTTTTTTTTGCTATAAAAAAAATCGAAGTTTTGAAAATTTTCGATTGATAATAGTTCATTCCATGCGTTTACATATATTGAGTGTGCCCTGTAAATTTCAAGTAATTCGGTCCAGCCGTTTCTGAGATACAATGGAGGAAAGTTTGAAAAACACAGTTTTGAGAAAAACGCGTTTAAAGTTTCAAGTCCGTTAAAAACTATTAAAATATCAACTTACTCTCAATCGGCGATGCCTGGTCCATAGAGTATTCCTTCCTCTTCCTCGTGAAACTCTTTTAAAGCAGATTGTTCAGCTCTTGAGTCAATCCTGGCTTGTTTAACGACATCACTTACGCGCCGCTCAGAGCGTAAGATTCGCTTTTCATCCCGTTTCTCAACATACGCTATCCCATAATCGACATAACTTTTAAAATACCTTGAAAACCTTCATTAAAGATAATAACTGCTAAGTAGCTAGCAATTTCAACAACTTTGGGACCAGAATGAAGATGTTTAGGAGCGAAAGTCCAAATCAAAGAATTCAAAGATTCGTTATTGTTTTGTGTCTCTGCTCCTAAACAACGAATTAATAATTCGTCTTTCGATAAATCTTCGAAAACCGGTATATATAGGTGGTTTATCGTGATGAAATTGGTCCAGTTCATTATTAGCTTCAGCCTACGCCATTTACACCAACTGTCTTCGCCTTCTGGACAAAATTGATGCTGAGGGTTTTCATCAGAAGAACATTTGTGATAGTACGTTGCCCAAACTTCCTTTCTCATCTTCAAGCGAATCTGGATGGCGTCGAATTGCTAATCCGTAGAATTTTGTAATTTCTTGGATAACTTTCTTGGATAGACTAAAATAACTTCGGTAAAATATTATAACAATAGAAATTTCTGTTTAAGTCTGGAGAAACGTGTCTAAACTTGTATAAACAAATATATTAATAAAAGGGAGGCCAGGTATAAAGCCGACGGTACACAATAGGCCCGGTCTCTAACTGCCAACTCACCGCTCCGAACCGCTCTTTCTTTTACCTGCTGTATCTTTAAAACGACTTCGAATTTTCAAAAATCGCTTTACTACCGTATTCTAGACATGTTAAGGGAGCAATTTATGAAAAAAAAAAATCGATTTTTTCAACCCATCACATAGAAGACCCCCTTAAATTTCACAATTTTAGTGTTAATTGTCAACAATATGCCTTGATGACAATTAACATTCTTACTTATTTTAACCCCTTTTGTATGTGTTTATTCTTATTTTATAAAATAATTATTCCTAACGATAATCACAAATCAAATAAATATAAAAATATTCATTAAATTCTTGTTAATATCCTCCAGCAAAATATTTAACAAAGAAATTACGCATTTATTAATTAATTTCTTTATTAACATTCCAAATAAAACTAATATATCATGAATGTAAGTATGTAGTACAGTCTGATTACAGCATTGGAATTTGTTAGACCACTTAGCCGTGTAAATGAAGTAGATACAAAAATATTGTTTACTTTGACATCTATTCAACTCAAAACTAATACAACAGACTTAGCCGATCCTTGCGTGTGTGCTAGTACCATTACATGTGTCGTGCCATAGACCATATTATAATAACGCATCGTGTATAACTAGTCTATGCCGTAATAAAGCATGTGTTATGTTCTGCATCCGTGGTCTACAGGAAACAGTAAGTGAAAGTATGTGAAAAAGATATCTTATTTATTAAATATCTTTCATTTTGCTATCCTCTTTTATGTGTTTTTTTACGTGATTAATATTATGTGGCTAACACTCTAACCTATATTGTGCACTATAAACCCATTTATTTTGCTGAAAGAATGGTAAGACAAAACATTCCAATGCCCACAGGCTACATTTTTTAATAGTTTATCATAACCGGCATGGATTGTATTTTGCAGGTATTTAAAAAAATAGGCACTCTGTAATCCTATTTTTTACTTTTTTGTTAACTTGCACTAGTTATATTCCAAAACTGCTTGCGCGCTCCTCAACAATATTAAAAATCCTTACGACACTACTACTTCAATCTTTAACGCCTATGGAATTTAACGTGAAACTTCTTCTTCTATAATAACTGATTTTGTGTTATGCTGACTTGCTTGTCAGCTTTGTTTTTATACCAAACCGAACCCATCACGTACACCTCTCCGTTGTTGTTCTGTGGATGTATAAATTGTAAACTGTGTTACTAAGAACAAAACTTCTGTTACGGAGCCCGCTTGTAGAGAGGTATTTTTAAGTAGCATATTTAACCAAGAATTCTACCTATTACGAGTACGATTAAAATATATACAAATTTCTATTTAATTTCAAAAATTTTTGCTTTTTGAAAAGATGTATATAGCAAGTAGTTTATATTCCAGCTGATTATTTTAAAAGTTAATTACTTTTCTTAAATTTCTAAGTAGGTAATATAGACTTAGGTACATATAAAATATATAAATATATCTGTAGCCGAAATGATTACACGTATTGCGTATTATGTTTAAAGTTTCTCAACTATTATAAAACACTATTAAAATAGTTACCGAATTGAATTCTAAACAATTTTTTTTTTATTTATTGAAAGAATAATAATTAATGAAGTAAAACAATAATTATATAGTCTATTTTCGGATAAATTTCAGACCAGAAGCAGCCACCCCAATCCCCCAGCAAGCAATCCACGGGCGGGGGGGACTCACAGCCTACGATACTGTGGCAGTGTAACTTGTAAATCAAGACCACAACCACAGAGCGACACGCAGCCAACTCGGTGTTTTTAATTTTATGGACCATCAACATCTTGCTGAAACAATGTAGCCCATTTTATTTAGCGGCAATATTTACGCTAATTAAATTATGCCAAGCGCTGCGAACAATTGTTTTCAGCAAGATAGTGATCCTAGTGCCAAAAAATTACCTTTATTTTATTTAATTCATTTTATTAGTGTGTCGCTAATTTGTGTTGCTGTTTCCTTTTGAAATTATCCCAACTTAGTTGGCTGGATTTTTCTTTTAGTTTTAATTCTACGTGGGCACGAGTTGTGCCATATTCGTATTATTTATATGTAGGTTTGGGCTCAACAAGTCTGTAGTAAAATTGCATAGTTGGTTGACGTCTGCTTTTCTAGTAGAGGCTACCTGTACCGGCGCGTCATTTTGTAGTATTACCATGAAATATATAAAACGGAAAATTATGGTTGTGGTAGTTATTTCAAATTGATATACCTATATTCGTTTTAGTAAAGTGACGCGTTCTCTAAACCTAACCAAATACATAATATTAATTAGATACCTGCATGTAATAGACAGCGATAATAAGCCAAGTGTCGCACGTTTACTACAGACAGATGCTGTGTCGACAGCGAGTTAATATTTACCTTATTTGATCTTATTTGTTTAGCTTAATTTAAAAATTAAAATGAGTATTGGGTTTACCACAAAGTTTCGGTTTAAATTAAGCTCAACAATTTAACAATGTGATATTTTTGTATTTTTATCCCGTTTTATTTTTACGTGATGTATTACTAATACGTTATTTGTACTCGTAGAAAGGTAATTTATAGATAATCCAGCAATGGCTTGGATGTGACAATGCTTCCTTTTAATTAGTAATGTTATAGTTTTCTTAACGACTTTGAATTATTATTGCCCTTCTATACTCCTTTTTTTTTCTATTACGTTTGCGTTTACGCATATACTATTTAGATTAAGATTAGTGTTAAGCTTCTTTTTATAGTAATTAATCAATTAATCAACTTTTAAAAAAGTAACTACTATTTAATCAGTAGCTAGTTAGTAACATACTATGTGTTACATTATAATTATATGAAATTTAATATTAAAGGTAAACTATTTTAATCGCCGCGATGAAATATACACCTATGGGACATAGGTATACATATATACTATTACAATATAGTTACCTTACCAGTATAAAGGAGTAACAAATTGAACATCATCGAAGAAGTAATAAACATTACTGACATGGAATTTAAATGCTTTTTAATATTACTCTAGTATACTAAGGCGCATTTTTATTAATCATACTATTAATCGTAATTTTATCCTTCTATATTTATGCAAATGATTAGGTGTAAGACACGCGTGTGTCGTTTTCTAGGTGTTTCCCTTATATGTTGTGCATCGTCGTGTAAGCTTGGCAATGTAGGCTTCTAGTTAGGTTCTCGCGACTTCCTAGCAACCGATATCTTCTCATAACCTTCCAATTAGGAAATTTGAATTAAATTGAAATTAGTTAAAAATTAATGTGAACAAATTAAATAAGAATTTTATTCGAAATTATAATAATAGCTATGCATTGATAATAATTAACAAGATATTTTATCAAGATGCTGAATTGTGTTGGCGTATTTTTTATCGTGACACTTTCTTTTATATTCTCGTGGCAATATAAGTTTTGCGTATAGTCAAAAGTTGATTAACTTTAGTTATAATGACAAGTAACGCAATGCAACGCAACTAACTGTTTGTACCAAAGTGTTTGATTTGTATTGAATAATAAACTACTCAAGAGTCGACAACATGAACTTGTTTTATTTCGACACATCCACTATTATTCCATGCTGAGTGAAGGGAAATCAAATTATAGTTTTCTACTGAGATGGTAGGAATATTTATTTATACATAAGCAATATAATAAATACGATTTTAACACTAACTGTTGTTGACTATAACTTGATAACCGTTCACGCTGTAGCCGCTGCCTTCACGATCTCTTCTGCCACCTCAACAGCAATGGCAGCTTCCGCTTTAGCCTATAAATAATAACAAACATTATTAACACTTAATAAGATTTTGTTAATGTAAACACTATTGTACTGAAATAGAGATATTCTAGGAATTATTTAACAATGAATTATGAAACAAAAATTAAGAAAATATGCAAACACGGTGTCAATTTTTCAAAGAGGTATCGTCTTCTTTTGAGCCGTAAAAAATAGCAGTATTTAAACGTCTTATTTTATCTACTTTACATCTAGATTGAGGAGGCATCAAATGTAGTCCTTGGGGTGAACATTTTGCTGGGTATATCTGAGCTGGGTGAACCCAAGGTGGCAGGCAAGTCGCAAGCCTGTCAACATGTCCCAGATTTATTTAAATCAATCATTTTGGATTTATATAAATAAATAAATATAAATGTTTGCATATAAAATTCTAAAACACTAATGCTTTCATGGTATCAGGGTATAGAAACTAATGTATTTCTGCTAATATTCAAGTACTGTAAATTTACAAATGAAGATATGGCGTTTGGCATGGCTTATTGAAGCTCATTGTCGCTGCGGTCCAAGTTCTTCAGTCCATGACATAAAAAGCTATCGTGGTAATTACTTACATTATCTTTAAAATCTACACAATATACAAAATGTCTGATGATATTATGACAAACCTTATCATTAGCTGCAGAGCTAAGTTCAGATTGGGCTTTACTAAGGGCCTCTTGTGCGGCGCTACGATCCAAATTTTCTAATGGATGAGCTTCTTCCGCTAGTACCTGCAAAAGTATAAAAAAAAATTATACTCTGTGATATACGTTTATAATTTCACACTGTATTCAACTATGCGCAGATTTAGAGCAGTAGACAAAGTAGACTAGAATAGACAATATAAAAACTGCAAAGAATAAAAGAAAAAAAGTCGACAAATGGTTTACTAGCATTGAAATGGATATGTCATGATTTATTTCATTAATATCGACATTAATACAAGTATACGCCTCAATAAAAGTATAATCCTAAAATGAAAGCATATGACCCGGTAAACCCGCGCTAAACCTCTTGTTTATCATTGTACATCAACAGAATGATGAAAAATGTGTGTGTAAATAATGAGGTGATTGTGAACAACGATGAATGAATGAAGAAAACATATTATGCCGACCGCAAATAAATGAGATAAGGAAGAAGCAGATGATGATGATATGAATCCTTGCATAATGTAAATGTTCTAAGAATACTATAGGACTCACAATAATGACAGTATTTATTATACACTAGCTGTGCCTGCGGTTTCACCTGCATGATATTTGTAGCCAATGTGTTATTCTGACGTATCATTACATAGTATAAAACAAAGTCTTAAGACTGCTATGTATACTTAGTATGTTAGGTATGCATAAATCTTTAGAACTACGCAACGGATTTTAAAGAGTTTTTTTACTACATAGTGATTCTAGAGGAAGGTTTATACATGTATAATACATGTACACCTGTGCGAAGCCAGGGCGAATAGCTAGCAAGCTATACTACTGTAAAGTTTCTTCGAAATCCATTCAGTAGCTTTTGCATGAAGGAGTAACATATATCCATCCATACTCACAAAGTTTTGCATTTATAATATTAGTAACATTCACTTCTAGTCATTATGTATTATATATCATAATAGCAAAAACTAAAATATAATGTATACAAAAATGTGTTACCTGAACAGAAGAATCATCATTTACTGTAATTGTTCCAGAAGAGACAAAGATCTTGTTTTGTTTGCCATCATTTTCAACCACAGTCACAACACCAGGGCGAAGAACAGCTATAAGCATAAAAATCTATACTTAACATTGTATAATTATAATCATACTATGAACTTAATAATATATATATACTTCAATAATAACTATGTACTTCAGATACATGTAGATAGATATATGTAAAGGGAGACAAAGATTGAAAAAAATTAATGACCTATGAGGAAAATTGTATTCATAAAAAACATACTATGCTGGTCCCAAATAATCGAAGAAAGGCAACAATGATAAATCAAACTGACCAATATACCAGTTATAATACCTTTCAGATACACATAACTTGTAGAAAATGGCTTTGTCCAGAAGTTACATATAAATATACATTACACATCAATTACTTTCTAGCAATTGCTTTCTATTTAAGTGCTATGAACTGCCTTGTTTGAGTATAATATCTACTTTTTTTGGGAATAACAAGGGGTTTTGCTTATTATCCTGCTGTAACATTACATTTACTTACCAAGTGTTGGTACATGCTTTGGCAGAATGCCAAAAGATCCACTGAATGATGGTACATCAATTTGTTTCACCACTTGCTTATCATAAAACACCTGTAAGCAGTTAATATAATATCAATAATGTACCACTAATTAACTAACAAAATATTGAATATTGTAAAATCTACAAGTTTATTTCTAAAAGATATCTAAACTAAATAATTACAAACTTTCTTTGGTTCCACAAAATAAAACATATTCTAGATATTGCTAATAACAATCTGAATTTTATTTCTCGTCTCAAACCTCAATAGCAATAAATACATTTAATTATATTTCGGGACAGTGCTTAGGTGGTACTAAGGAAATAACAAACTAAATACTACTTTTTATAACAATTTAAATTACTTCTAATAGTTAGCCTCACCAAATTAAAATGTATGTAGTATTGATGGAAAATGATTATAATACAATTATCCTAATTATATGTTTGTTTTTATTATTCAAATAATGTAATTGTAAAATGAAATTAATTCTGTACTTTGAAATAATCATTTAGTTTTAAGATTATGTCTACTGATACTAATGTTATAAAAATTACAATTGAATATTTAATAACACCTTTATGGATGCTTTAGAAGACATACAAATTATAAAATTTTACTATAAAATATTTACTATAAAGAGTTAGACTGTAAAATCCTTCTGGGTAGGTACCCAGAAGGATCAGTCTAACCTATTTAAACTGCCAAGCAGCTTGTCTTGGGAGCTTTGTAGCAGCATCAATTATCATTGTCAATTATAATTATCTCAGTGTTCTGGAATGGCAATTAATGAGTGGTATAACAGGTGTCACATAATAATGTGATGTCTATAGTTCTGTTCATGTATACAGGTGATGGTTAACACTTACCATCAGGTAGGCCGCGGTTTGTTTGTCATTACAATAAAATAAAAAATTAAACTTCAATTATTATTATAATTACCTTATTACCAGCAGCAAATGTGAGTGCTAAATCACCTTCCTTGGGTGCATCAGCATAATTACGAACTTGGAGCCTCCTTGATGCACTCCTTAACATGTTACGAAGTGCCATGGCCATTCTAAAATTTTATTGAAATATTATAAAGACATATAAGGTATATTTGTACCTCAATACATATTTTATATAAAAGTAGTGATTTAAAATTATTACTATTAAATTTTCATTATCAGGGCCCAATTTAAGTACATTAGTAATACAAACTCATAGCAATAACTTTTGTTGAAAGAGTACACATTTGAAAGTAAATAGGTGTTTTATTAATAAAGTAATGGTAGCATTCATTCGCTTCAATGTTATTTTTTAAATACTTCAAATCTATGTAATGTTTCAGTAGTAAGTCGTTTTTAAAATATACAATATAGTTTTGATATAACCTCACTTGTTAAACAAGAATAGTTAAAATATGCTAACTAAGAAGAGACCAACTATAATAACCAGACCATAATAAGAAAACATGCGAGATATTAGCATTAACTTGATGGATACAACACTTAGCAATTGTTTCTACTGAAAAAGAAAAATTGTGGTCTAAATATGAAGACTTATGTAACGTCTGAATGATAGATAGAGAATAATGATAACAAATGTAAGCCTGAATTTAATGATAATTGTATTACTTACATTTATAATATTATTACAAGATACACCCAAGTATAAATATCAGAAAGTAGTAAGAATTAGAATTATTTTAAACTATGACAGTGAATCCTGAATATCGTAATTAATTGAAATCTGAAAAATCGAAGAATGACGGACGACGGACGATCAATGTTGCCAACATGAGCATTTGAACTGACGTACAAGGTACTGTCAAACTTAGAGATTGAACTGTATGTTCTAAGCCTTAATTCAGAAATGTATGAAGTAAATTTGATAATGTAATGCTTTATTAGTATATTTCAGTTTACTTTGATTTTTTTTGGTTCGGTTTTTCCCTTTTTAGGGAAAGGCAAAAGGACTCAGCCCATACAGCCATAGTTTACTTTGATCAACTTTGGCCTTTTTTATGACGTAATCATACGTCTTTAACGTCATGTCATAAACTTTTGTTTTGGTTTGGTTATTATATTGCATAAAAAAGCGCGAAACACTAATGTTATATAGGCTCAGTAAACGCATATTTGTAATTAGTTATTTATACTCAATTAATAGTATTTCTTAACAATTGTCGATTGTTTCAATCATTATTATTATATATAAACAGTTTTTAAAAGTTATAGAATAAAAAAGTTTTCACATATAATTGAAAATAATTTAGTTCTGATGTGGTATAAATTTACATCGATTGAGTTCTTGTTTGCTAATTAATATAGATTTTTATAAAAGGTATTTAGAAATGACTATACAAGAATTGAACATAAGACATATAACAAAATTAATTTCTTCTCTCTTGGAACAAGTTACATGTCTGGAATGGTACGTACCTGAATTACCTTAAGAAATATACGCTATCCCTATTCTGAGGTAAAGTTAAGCTGATCAATAATGATTATAACATTACTTAAAGATTTATAGTGGAGAATGTTATTATTACTGTCCACATACTCCTCCCTAGAAACAATTGGTTAAGCCCTGATATGTGCTGTATAAATGACCTATGTCCCCCAACTTATTCATTAAAACCCTGTTAGCATTCACAATTGATGCAGATAAGAGCACCATTCCAAATCCATAGTCATCCATAAGATTATAGACTCAAAAACATACTTAATGTAGTACAGTACATTGTAATAACCTATGCACATATTTTTACATTATATATATAGAATGAATATAAAAATGGAGTTAGTACACAATTATAATAAAATTTTTGATATTCTATGTGAAAATGTATATGTCACATCATGTGTAATTTTTTGTAGTTGCTTATCAGATCTCTGGTACTTGTGTTTATAAATGAGAGTAATTATGAAATCTTTGAACTAAAGTTATGTGTATAACTAGATTCTATCTACTTACCCTGTAAGGGAGTATGCTGATTCTGGAATTGGTAGTGTATATCTTATCATGTTTGTATAGTGATGTTGTAAAGGCCAGCTGTTGACAACAGCATTAGAATATGTAAAAAAAGTGGCTTAGATGTTTACTCTATATCTAAAGGTCCCTTACTAATATGTATCTCTTTGAAACAAAGTATTTTAGTTGCAGATACTATATAGCTCCAGAAACTGCCAAATGTGGACATACATTTTGTCACACATGTTGGAGAAAACAAAGAACCTGCCCTAGTTGTGCAGCTCCATTGGAAAAAAGAGCTTTAAGACTTAACATACCAGTCCAGAATAAAACTGACCATATACATACCCTCATTGAAACCTTTGAAAAAAATTTCAATATTAAGTGTAAGTAAATAATTATAACAATTTTGTTCAATTATATGCTTTTGATACAAAATTTGGAGACTTACAGTTTGAAATTAATATTGTACTTTATTATGCCTTTACAGTAAATGAATTTCTACTTAATGTACAAGATAATGAACTGCATTCTGAACATGATCCCACAAAAAATGTAAAGAATTGGTTAGAGAATTCTGAAAATCACTTTTCAGCACCCTTGCCTAGTTCGGAAAATTTGACTCAAGATGTGATATTGGTGGAACAATTAACAAGTAAAGTTCAAATTCATACAGATACAAAAAGAACTGTTTCTCCTAAAAAAGTAATTCATAAACAACAACCACAAGATGATTGGGAAAAAATTGAAATGGTGTCTGTAACAAATGAAAATATAAACAAATTCAACAAGAATAATCCTTCAGAAGAATATACTCTCCATGATAAAAACAATACAATGGTTAACCCACGTAGAAGTTCTAGGAAAAGAGACTTTAAAAATAATGAGCCTGACTCAAGAAATCATGATATATCAAGGGATAAAAACAGTTCGAAAAATTCAAGTGTTGAAACAGAAATTAAATCTAATAAGAATAAGAAAAATTGGGGCAATGTTAAAAAAATGCGCAAAGAATTCAGTAAGTTAAATAAACAGAATAGAAATAAATTAAATGTATCAATAGAAATGTGTAGAAAAGGTCAAGCAAGTATAAAGAGAAAGCCAGAAACAACTACAAATTCAGATTCCAAAAATTATGATCACATAATTGAAGACACTACTACTAATTTAATCAATAAAGTGGAAACAGCTTCACTAGCACATACCGTTTCAGGAAAAACTGTTAACACTCATGACAGCAATTTTGAAAAAAATATACAACCAGAAAAAAAGGAATCACCTATTGATACATCTAATATTATAGAAACTGAAAAAAAGCATCATAACAATTATAATAAAATAAAACAATCCTCTGAAAAGTCACAAGTTGATGTAGCAGAGAGACATCAAAAAATGACTTTTGTAAAAAAAAGTTCTTTACAACCCAGACCAGTAGAAAATAATGTTCAAACAAGTAATTATGATATTCATTGCAATAGTAATGATAATATGGATGATATTGAGATTACAATTAAAATAGGCAATTCATTAACAAATATTTTTATAAAGAAAAAGAAAAATAATTCTGATTATAGTTTACATACCGATAAAGAAGTTCAAACAACATTAGGTCCCCACACTTTATCTAAGAATATATCATGTAATAATATGGATTTTAATGATATAGGAGATAACAAAAAAAGCAAGGATGCGTCTGTTGTAAGTGAAAAAATGCATTGTAACATAGCGAGTAACAATTCTAATATAGATAATAATATGAAAAAATCTCTTTCTGTTAAAAGAAATACTGCATCAGCTGATACGAAAACTGCCCCAGTCGAAATTACTGAAAGTGTAGAAAAAGAATTGTGTAACATTATGGAATGTGAAGCAACTGATTCATGTCCTGAAAAACAAAATTTGAACAATATGAAACCTGTGTATTTTTCAACCAATGTGATAACAAATACAAAGGAAGATGATGTAAATGAATTAGATATATTTGATAGCAATTCTGTAAAAGAAGCCAATGTGCAGTTATTAAAAAATACAAAACATACAACTTCAGAAATATTGATGCCTACAATAAAAAGCAATAAAATGCAAAAAGGTACTGATAAAAGAGGCAGAGAGATAAATGATGATTTACCTAGCAGCAAAAAAATAAAATTGACAGATAAAAATGATGTTAATACACAAGAGAATAATGAAATTCATAGTGAAGTCATGAATTATGACATAATCATGGGTCAAGTATTCTCCAGTATAGATGCAGATATTAGGGACACTCAAAAAAGTAAAAACATGATCAAAAATGATCACCATAATAAAACTGGAACAACTATAATTTCTTTATCCGAAGATCAACAGAAAGAGCTTGAAACATCTGGACATAAGGTTACATTGAATAATGAAAACAACAGTGAAAATGTGTTTTCGTATCTGGACAAAGAAAATGATTTTAAGCGACTAAATGACCTTGAAATTCAAGTAAGTGTAGTGTGTATAATATTGTATAATAACCTGACCCCCATTTTATTTATCCTGTGGAAAAATCTTCAAAAAACTATACCACTGTCAGAGGTGCGCCAAGGGGGTGTATAATATTCTTACCCACTAAAAGCCATCCAGACGGTGTACTTATGAACACCATTGCCGGTCGCAAGTTCGAGTTAGCATACTATTGAAAATCCGGCAGCGTTAGCCTACCCTATAGATGGAGTATGGGAGGCTTCTAATCCTTCCACTGACCAATTTCCTTTATTCTTTTTATCACATTCTTTTTGTCCTTTTATCACTATCCTTTCCAATTTTCAAAATATATTTAGCCTACGGAGATCCTTGGGGGAGGCCTTTGTTCAGCAGTGGACGTCTTCCGAGCTGAAATTATTACGCCTACGACAATTGAATTTGGAAAGATGGAATAGATAATTTGTTGTACACTAAACTAGTGTATTTTTTAGCACAGTTAGTAGTTATGCAATGTTAATATGTTGCAGGTTCCCAGCTCTACTCAACAACATATAGAGGACTTACTAACTCCGGGATTGTGTCAAAATTTAGCATCCACACATGAAGTTGAAAATGAGGAAAAAGAATTATGTACACCTCTACTGGACATTGAAATTGATGATTCTGATAAAAGTATTGTAGAAGAAACACCTCAAAAGTGAGCTACTTAAATGAACACTATAATCATTATACATAATTAAGTAAACCATTTTTGCATCAAATAGTAGGTAGTGTATGCACAGAAACAATTGTTGTTTTTATAAAGAATATTGTATAATACAATGTTTAATATTTATAAATGATTACTAATAAATATTCTGGTAGGAATAACTAATATGATAATTCATAGAATATATTGCACATCTATCTGCCATAAAAAAATACTTGTATTACATTCACAACTTGCTTTTATAGTTTCCAAATACTTTTCTCCATGAAAATGTATTTAAACACAGATATTTTAATACGAGTATTATTAAATGAATAACATTGTAAATTGCTGACAGAGCAATTATACAATCAGTGTTAAATATAAAAAACGAAGAACTAAATTATTAAGTTAATTTATCAAATTTATTATTGATCCCTCATTAGTAAGAATGTTGTGATTGGTGTATGATTATGTCATTGCTCTACTTGTAAATTTTATTATATTGTAAAATTTAAATATATGTCATAGATGTAAGAGCTATAGATTGAGTTCATACAAAACAACATCTAGAGATAAATTAATGAACTGTTTCAGGACGGTATCCTTTACAAGGCCTAAGAATAAAAATGAGTCAAGAAATGATGAAGCAGAGAAGATAGTTAAAAGTAAAAACAAACATTCATCTGATTCTGAAGGACGGCTGATTGAAAGTATTATTAATATCTCTGATACAGTGCCAAAATCTACAAAAGGCACTAAAGATTTAACTGTTATTGCAGCTCTTCCAAGGAAAAATACATTGGAAACACCAGTTACAATTAATAGATTTGTTGATCACATAAAACACAAGTCTACTCCTATAGCAAGAAAATCACTTCATTTTGATACAGACAATATTGATGATATAGACCAGACATTATGTCCAACAACTGAACCAATAGTGAAAACTACCCAAGAAAAAGAATTTTTGTGTAAGGCTTTTGAAGAATCTCCTCAATCGCCGATAAGAATGCCATTGATATCAAGAAATATTAAAAATAATAATATGAATAACTGCTTGGCTGGATCATGCCTGAACCCTGTGGAGCTTACTAAAGTGAAACTGTTGTGTCGTCAATATAATTGGCAATATACAGATAAATATACTAAAGATTTGACTCATTTGGTTGTTGGAGTTGATGATGAAAATAGGTCACAAAGGTATGATAATATTTTTTGCGGCAATATTAATAATACTTATAGAGCGTGGCGTAGTGGTTTACTAACCCGACTTTTAAAAGCCAAAAGTTTGAGTATAAAGTATAAATCTGGCCGGCGTAAAAAAACTGTGTCAATTTATATTTCTGACTACTCTCTGGTCAAGGAAACAATGATAACAAAACCAAAAATTAATCCGTGAGACAACGGTAGGCTCGTCCCCCATGTCTCCTAGCTCTTTTCATTGAGCTCTGCATCACATACACTTACCTGCAAAAGGCAGTTTAATTATATTTTGTTTGCAATTGCATGATCGTCACAGAATGACTTGATTCAAATGGTTAACAGCGTTGTTAAAATGCTGCAAAAGTATAGATTGGAGAGTGGTTGATCACACCAACTGAATTCTAGGACTTCAAATTTATTAAAGCACATACAAATTCTCACTGTAATAAATGTGTACACCTACTTACTTAATTGACGATAAAATTAGAATATGTGTAATATACTTGATATTATGCATTTGTGTAGAAAAATGCTAAACCGTTGCAAGTGTTAATTATTTATGACATTATTTTAATAATTACAGATCAGTTAAATACATGTGCGCATTGGCGGCATCCAAATGGATTGTTTCATTCGAATGGGTTCAGAATTGTTTAAAAAGTAATCAAATTGTAAAAGAGGTATGTGTTATTCAACTACTATTTATTATTACTAAACAATTTTTTTTTATTATTACTGGCCTCCGTTTTTATAGTAAATATATAAAACTATGACGATTTCTTTGGAATCTATACATATAAATAAAATCGGAGTGTCTGTTTGTAATATTGAAATTACCATTTTTACTACATGTATATGAATACGGTACATACACCAAAATAATATTTTTTACAATTTTTGTCTGTCTGTTTGTTCCGGATAATCTCAGAAATGGCTGGACCGATTTTGGCGGGACCTTTTTGGCAGGTAGCTGATGTAATAAGGAGTAACTTAGGCTACTTTTATTTTAGAAAAATAAAGTTAAATTTCACGCGGAAAATGTCGAGGGTACAGCTAGTTAAATAAATAAATTACAGTGCATGTAACATGACTATGTGCGAAATATAAGTGAAATATGATGTGCCTGTTTACCAATATAATTAATTTCAAACATAATTTTGTATGCCAGTCTTAATAAAATGATGGTATACAAGCTAATATGTATACCTTGTATTAAAAATTAAAATTAAAATTAAAAATTAAAAAAGCCTTTTTATTTCTTGCTTATTACAAATTTATGGTGTTAGTAACTTAGAAATATATATTTATCACTATTTGTTAATTTATATTCAAGTATTTTTATTATTATTATTATTTACTATATGTATTTATTATTATTAATCTATTTGTTACTAATATCACAGATAACATAATATTACATACAGATACCCCATCCCATACAAGAAAATGGTTCCTTCCTAACTCGGGCTATTCTTCGGGCTATTTTATTTCGCCACCGTAGCCGCTAGATGTCGCTAGATCTGAAGCAGTTCGGATTACTAGTGGGTGCTTAGTAACAAAGCATGAAAATAGATGGCAGTCAATTCAGTCTACATGACATCTGTTTTGCAAAGATATGTATATAATAGATATGTAGGTAACTGTATCGTGTACCTCATTAGGGACGATTCAAGATTCAATGTAAATGTGTAGGTATAATATCGTTAGCCGACACTCTGCAGATATGGATTATGTGCCAATGTATATACCTATTATGTTATGGTTTATTTTACATTCCATGCCTATTTTTTTGATATGTTGTAACGCGTCTGCGCTATACGTATAGCCCGATTTTGATACTTTTATACTCGTACGTATCAAAATCGGGCTATATGATTTTTTATTTCAATCGTTATGTGTAAGAGACTGGTTTTAGCTACAATTAATTTACTGGTATATACCTCATGTATTCTACGATGTACCCCTCTTTTCCCTAATGAGAATTCCGCTATATCTTATATATAAATTTTGTATCACAGTGTTAGGTGCCATATTTCTCCCACATTTTGATGAAATTTGATATGTATACTTGCCAGGTCTGAGGTAGGGTTGTTATCTATTTTTTATACCCCTAAGTCATAGGGGTGGCCTACCCCGAAAAAATATTTTTTTGTATTATGGACAATTTTTTATTTATTTATAATGTTACATTGAAAATACATACACGCCTAAATTTTCACCCGTCTTTCACCAACCCCTATTTTTAATAGCGATATTCTTACAAATATTATAAATGCTAAAGTAACTCAGTCTGTCTGTTTGTCTCGCTTTCACGCCAAAACTACTGAACTGATTTAATTGAAATTTGGTAGACAGATAATGTAGACCTTGAGAAAGGCTACTTTTTAATGCGAAAAAGTATTGAAAGGGGAAATGAAAGGCTATATGAGGATATCGTAATTTTTCAAGTCAGATCTTGTAAGATTAAGTGAACAGGGTTGGTCTAGGTTTTTCATTATTAGAAATGTGTAACGGGGTAACACGTTATTTAGTGCGAAATTGTGTATATTACAATAAAATTTAACGAGAAAATATTATAATGATGTCACTGGGACACTCATTGCCTTACTACTATATCGTCCGTTAGTCGCGAACTTTCTGGAAACACGAGAGGCGCGCTCCTATTGGTTAGTAGATGAGGTAGACGAGTCTCACGGCGCCGCAGCGTAAGTACTTACTACATATACATACGTAGTATACATATGGGTGTTACAAATGTTTTTATTACGAGTAATATTACTCTGTTATCTAAGCAAGTAATGTGTGCTTATTTTGAACTTGATAACATTCTGAATTACTCGTATATCTTTCAATATCTTTAGCGGTATAAACCAGGTTATGTACTACTACTAGTATTGTTAGTGAGGGATAAAGTTGATGAACAAAAATAAAACAATATTCGTATTAAAAATATATTCATCTAATATTTTTGGCATTATTTTTAAGTTTCTTCCAAATACAAGGGGTCTGACATGGGGTGTTATGTACCTACATTAAAAGATACTTTTTGAAATGTATGAAATGTATGTACCTACATTAAAAGATAATTTTTGAAATGTATGAAAGAAATGTATGTACCTACATTAAAATATAATTTTTGAAATGTATGAGATGTATGAAAGAAATGTATGTACCTACATAAAAAGTTCATTTTTGAAATGTATGAAATGTATGAAAGAAATGTACGTACCTACATTAGAAGATAATTTTTGACATGTATGAAATGTATGTACCTACATAAAAAGTTCATTTTTGAAATGTATGAAATGTATGAAAGAAATGTATGTACCTACATTAAAAGATAATTTTTGACATGTATGAAATGTATGTACCTACATTAAAATATATTTTTTTAAATGTATGAGATGTATGAAAGAAATGTATGTACCTACATAAAAGTTTCATTTTTGAAATGTATGAAATGTATGAAAGTAATGTATGTACCTACATTAAAAGATAATTTTTGACATGTATGAAATGTATGTACCTACATTAAAATATAATTTTTGAAATGTATGAGATGTATGAAAGAAATGTATGTACCTACAAGTTCATTTTTGAAATGTATGAAATGTATGAAAGAAATGTATGTATGTACCTACATTAGAAGATAATTTTTGACATGTATGAAATGTATGTACCTACATAAAAAGTTCATTTTTGAAATGTATGAAATGTATGAAAGAAATGTGTGTACCTACATTAAAAGATAATTTTTGACATGTATGAAATGTATGAAAGAAATGTATGTACCTACATTAAAACATAATTTTTGAAATGTATGCACCGTATAATAACAATACACGTTAAACATCATACCACAGAGTCATACGCAAGTTAAAAACAAACTGCTATGATATATTAATGAGAAAGGAAAATCAACTTTATGGTATTCGAGTTAGGGTCGATTTCTCTCTTTTTTTTAAATACTATTTTAATCTTACCAGTTGCCAGTATTCGAAGACAGCTACGATTCGTACTCGATATTTTAAATTATTATGTAATCGATTATTCAGTACAAATGTAAATAACCAACGACACTAATAATGTACTACTATATTCCGTTCTTTGAAACGGAACACTGCTATAATACATAATAATGAAAATTTACTGTTCACAACGACTCATTAAAAGCATCATCGAATAATGCGCTGTAATAAAATCCTGTTATCGATTATTAAAAAAAATCGATAATACATGTATTTATTTTTAATATGACAACACTTCATACATAAGTATTATTGGAAATAGTATTACTTGCTTGTTCGGCTATTTTTAATTTACTTAAAAAAAATTTATATGTTTAATTTACAATAATAATATATTAAGTGCTTATTATTGGAAAATTTAAAAAAGACATTTAATTAGGCCGATACAAATGACGACAATGCCATCTATGAAAGCATTTTGAAAACATTGAGCCCCATATTAGCACTGATTAAAGTGTAATTAAGTACTGGAAAATAACAAAATGAGTAAATATATGAAAATTACTTTTCTAAACGCATTATTTCATTTTAACATGTATATATAACTTTTTAAAAATTGATTAAACATTTTTGAAAACACAGTTTTGTTTTTTAAAACGTTTGCAAAACTATGAAGAATTCCATCGATACCAATCACGCCATCTATACGCAACTCTGAACACTAATCATGGCTACTTCCTCATTGAGTGCCACTGCTAATATGTATTTATATATTTACATATATTTAGTTATCAAGAACCCCATTTTGGGTAAAGGCCTCCTCCAAAGATGTCCATTTGTCTCTGTTTTGTGCTACTAATGTCCAGTTTGAGCCAGCTACTCGTTTGATATCATCCTCCCAGCGAGTCAAAGGTCTTCCTTTACTTCTCTTGCCTGGTGGTCCGCTCCACAAAGTTACTTGCGTTGTCCATCTCTGATCTGTTACTCTCGCGATATGTCCTGCCCATTTCCATTTGAGCTTCTTTGCATAACTCTTAGCATTAATTGCTTTAGTTATCCCTCTAATCCTGGTGTGTCTTATTTTGTCTAATTTTTTAATATTAAGCATGCTTCTCTCTAGTCCTCTTTGACATACGTTGATTCTATTTGTAGCTTTAAAAAAAATTTCCATGTTTGACATCCATACGTCAAGCATGGTAAGAGACTGCAATTCATAACTTTTGTTTTTATAGCTATTGGCATATTACTTTTAAAAATTTCTTTAAGGCTCCAATATTTGTTCCATGTTTGTTGTATTCTTCTTTCTATTTCTAGTGTGTTGTTGTTTCTGTCAAAACTTATTCTTTTTCCGAGGTATACATATTTTTCTACATATTCCAGTGGCTCTCCATTAATTATAATGGGTACTTTAAAGCTGTTTGTCATTACCTTAGTTTTAGTGAGGTTCATTTCCAGTCCCACCTTAATACTAGCACTATGTAAAGATTCTATCATGAACTGCATCTGGCAACCCGACTCTGAAAGTAATACCAGGTCATCTGCAAACCTAAGGTGGCTTAAATATCTTCCTTTAATATATATTCCTGACTTATTCCAATCTATCTTACCCATAGTGGATTCTAGGATGGCTATGAATAATTTTGGAGAGAGGGGATCTCCCTGCCTTACTCCTCTTGTTATGGGAAAGGTTGGGCCTAGGCTTTCGAGTTTAATTCTTCCTGTATTGTTGTTGTATATACTTTTGATAGCATTTATATACACTTCTTCAACTCCTTGTTGGTTTAAGCTTTCCCATATACTTGTGTGTGTTACCGAATCAAATGCTTTTTGGTAATCAATAAAAGTGATATATAGAGATCCATGTTTTTCTTGATATTTTTCCATTATTAAGTCGATTGTGTGAATGTGATCAACTGTGGAAAACCCTTTCTGAAGCCTGCCTGTTCTACCGGTTGTTTTGCTTCTATCATAGCGCTTATTCTTTTATTTAAGATAGTAGAGAAAAGTTTGTAAAGACTGGGTAGCAAGCTAATCGGCCTATAATTACCAATATCCTTTGGATCTCCTTTCTTGTAAATTAGTATGATGTTTGCTTCCGACCATTGGGATGGCGTTTCAGCTTTTTGAAGAATCAAATTAAACAATTCACTTAATGGTGCTGCTAGTATCGTGTTCGCGAATTTTAGTGCTTCATTTGGTATGTTGTCGGCTCCAGAGCTTTTTTCTAGTTTTAAACTCTTTATTGCATCCATAATTTCATTTTCATTTATCAGTTTAATATTGTTACAGTAGTTGCTTTCGATTTTTCTCTTTAATATTTTAGTTGTTTGCTTGCTGTCACTGTATAAATTTGTATAGAATTCTGTTGCAATGTTGACAATATCACTCCGTTTACATAAATCTTTTCCTAGGCTTCTTAATCCTTCTATCCATGATTTATTTGTTTTAAGTTCTTTGTAAGCCTTTTTTGAACTTCCGCTATATTGTAGGTGCCTCTCTATTGTATCTTGCCTATATTTTGCATAATCTCTCCTTATATATCTATTAACTAGCTTGTATAAAGCTGAAAGTTCATTTTTCATAGAGCGTGTTTTGTTTTTTCTAATTTGTAGTTCTTTCCTTCCTATAGCTTGTATACCATCATTTTATTAAGTACCTAGGCGAATAAGATGGTATTCACCATTTTTACGGAATAATTTTATAACATAACACAATACACAGCGCCATCTAGATCACATTAATGAAAGTTTTTGTCTCTTTTTAAAATATATAAAAAAGTAATATATCAATTCCCAGATTCATACAAGTCATGAAAACATATATTTGTAGGGTACAAATATCGAATCCCTAACCATATGTGAGGGCACAATCATGGCGTCAGATATTGTACTATGACTAAAATGTAGTAAAATCTCTGACTCCATGTTATAAAGTTGAATCGCTACCCTAACACACTCATCAATTATGTTGTCTGCCCATAATTATCTTGTTCTTCTCTAAATAAGACTTGTTTTAGTCTGTGCATTGCATTATTCATGTGCAGGAACAATACGAAGCTCTGGACGGCACTGGGGAACCTGGGCCTAAGCGTTCCCGACTTGCGAAGAAGAAGTTATTTGAAGGCATTATATTTTATTGCATGCCGCCATTTAGCATACTGGATGTTAACACGCTAAAGGTAAATTTATTATCTTAATAAATTCTCAAACTAAAATTATTAACACGAAAAAGTACCGTATTCTACCATAATTCAAAATAAAGTTATATACAGCTATGTCTATACCAGTACGCTTTTATGCTCATCTTTCGCCTTCCTCCTGACGCATGACTGAAAACCATAGCGTTGTAACCGTTTCCATAACAGCGTATACCGGTATCGCACGGTAATCCGTCAGCGCTGATTTCACGTACGATATTACAGACATTATAGTAAATGGCTTAAAATATAATCAAAACATTGAATTTTATAAAATTGAGCCTATCTAAATATGTAGAGAGTGGATTTAGACATTTGTGTCAAAACTTTAAAAAGGATGTCATCTTTGATATGTACATTTCTAAGCAGTCAGCTCTAAATGTTTAAATAATTAGTTTTTCTTCTTATATTAAGCTTTACCTTGCACTTAGCAGCTAATATGCCGCACGGATAGCTGAAGTTGCTGAACCATAATAGTTGGTGCCTATCCGAGAATTCCGAAATGTTGATGCATTAAATACAAGAAAAAAATAGCTTATATATTATTCTGGTCTATAACCTATATTACTGTATAAGTTTCATCAAAATCCGTTCAGTAGTTTTTATGTAAAAGAGTAACAAAGTGTAAGTATTTTCGCCTTTATAATATTATTAAGATTAAGATGTATATTAGTTTTTATTTCAATTATGATAAGGTTTTGCATCATCATCATATTTTTAGGTTACTTACAATATGTTTAGCCAGTATTGTATTACGGCTGAAATTAAAACAGATGAATATGAAAACGCAATTAAAAGCCATAAGATATGGATCTTATGTAGTAGATTAACCATGGATATGCAAACATGATTATGCTTTCGCATGTTTATATATTTATCAAGCAGTCATATAATATGTCTATTTAACAAAAATGGCTATTATCTGTGTTTATTTATTTATTTCCGTATCATGTTAATAAATTACATAAACTAGGGTTGTAATGTATTAATATACAACATCATGGGCTCAGAGTGGGGTAGCAGTAGGAATGTAAGACTCAACATTACTCTATATGAAAACAATGTAGCCTTACCTCGTTTGTTAACGAAAGATATCGTTTATTTAGTGGTCTTTACACGCATATACATTTTGGACATTACGGCATTGTGTATCTTAAGAAGGGTGTATTAAAGTCTATTAAGGGATGACAACGCACACGTCACCCCGGTTGTAGGTTCCATAGGCTATGGTAACCGTTTACTAAGAACGGGGCCGTACGCTTGTTTGCTGCCCTTATGGTATAAAAAATATATAATTATTGTAGGATATATTGGAAGCAGCAGGAGGACGAGTGGTGAACGAAGCAAAAGCTGTTAGAGTGACTGGCAATACACCAGCTTTGCTATTGGCCGAACCAGAGAACACACAGGAAAATAAATTTATATGTAAGCGTTATATTTTGTCTGTTTTTCCGTTTATTTCTTCAAGCAATATATTCTGTTACGGTTTTCACTATAATTTCTTCCAGAAGGTTTAAAACTCTAACTCAAAATAATTTATTCACATAACGACCTTTCGGCCTCTTGTGAACATTTTATTTTTTATCACTGTCACTAAGCAGTTTGACTAGCTGATTTATGAATATTATAGTGCGGAAGGGAAATGACTAGGAAGATTTTTTTGAAGACCTTTACCCCCCGGCCGTACTTTAACCACATGTTTTATCTGCTAACTATATAACTGCAGGAACGTTGCACATTTATAATTACAACTCCAATCTAATCTACTTAGTTTATATTACATATCACTGATAGTACGGTCACGTGCAGTAATATGTAAACACTTACTTTTATCACGGTTAATACAGACATATATCATGCAGAGTTTATTAACTAGTTCCAATAAAAGGTTAATGCGATAACATACATTATGTTTACATATTTTACAAGAGTGTACCTACATACCAAATCACAGAGTTCTGAAATCTGATTTGGACTTTGTATCGAGTCCACAGTTCTGGAACTCACATTTTATTTCTTTGTTGCAGACTTAGCGATGGAATTGAATATTGTACCGGTGAATCATGAATGGGCCTTGAACTCTCTGGGGAGTTACACTCTGAATTCCATACACGAACTATTGTTGTGTCCGGCCGCGCTATTACCCGCAGCGACCGCGTGTTGGCCAGCTGATCTCGTGTCTCAAGATTGTGATTGATATATAAAAACAAATACATATATTATTATAATAATATTTTTAATATAAGACTTTATGTCACACTTTTATATTTCATTTTAGATAATTAGTTGATATGCCTATATTTTAATCAAAGCAACTTTTTAGTAAAGGACTAACTTGGGAGTATGTTATGATTAAAAAAAAGAACACATTCGGAATTAGCACAGGTATCGAGGGTAGCTTTTGTATTGAGTGCATTAAAGTAATATAAATAAATAAATGCCTATAGCCTTTTAGACACATATTTATTATATATACATATTTTAGATATATAGTGTACCCATCTGGTAATGTTAAGGTAAGTAGTATCTCGAAGCACACGATGTTATAAAAGTATTTTAGGTGGTATTTTACTCATACTTTCAACATTAGTCAAATAAAGAATTTCACCTCTTTTGTTTAGACAGCACGCATCGAGTTACGAGTATTGCCTTCGTTTCGTTGAGAGCTCACTTAGATGATTGTGGTGTGAATTATGGAATAGTGCACCTATCAGCGCCTACAATGTGCGTTGGCGGTGCACCAATAAAGGATGAAGTCAGTTGGCCCAAATATATATAAATACTATACTACGAACATCATATCGCCTTATGGAAACCATAGTTGTAAGGTGTCTTTTACGCATGGCGATTCCTGAGGAGTTAAGTGCCATACCTCCATACAATGTTATCCTATCTATTATATATAGTGATAGACACACGCATGCACGCAACTATAACTTGAAAGTAAAGTTCTTGTTCTCATACTAAAACCAATTTAGCATATTCATTCTCATTTTCACACCGAAATTGTCAATAATAATGTAAAATTGTAACTACTATCGAATAAATATGCTATCTATTCTCAATTCCTTTAAATATTACAAAATACACGGCTTTGAAATGTTTAATTAATAAAATAGGTGTCCTAGATAAATTATTGTTTAATCAGATAAATGTACATAATAATATATAATATTATTTTTTTTATTTAGGCCCGTTATTATAATAATTAAAACATTGACAGCCTCGGTGGTCTAGTGGCACCGCTTTACTATCCGATGGTCGTGGGTTCGATTCCTCGCACGGTACAAACATTTGTATTCATAAGTATGATTGTTTGTATCGGTCTGGGTGTTTTTTATGCATAATATGTATTTATTTAAAAAAAATGTATCCATGTATTTATATCAGTTGTCTAGTACCACAAATACAAGCTCTGCTTAGCTTGCGACTAGATGGCGCTGTGTGAATTGTCCTGAGATATATAGATATATTATTTAAGCTATTATCGTCCTACTGTTGGGCACGGGCGTTATAAGAGAATTTAGTCTACTATTTACAGAGGTAGACTTTGTACAAAGCAAAGGTACCTCTGTCTCACTTATTTTACCCGTCAAGCACTTTGCTTTGTACGACGTGTTTCTATTAGGGAGTGATATAAAGTAAAGGAATTACACCAAGGGCAGCACAAGTAACAAGCTGTGCGGCTTTTATGCAGCGCCATAACTGGTGAAATGGTGCTGCGTAACTTCATTAAATTTCCGTACGTAGTTATAAAATAAGAGTAATCGCGTTAGTATTCTACTGCAACTTCAGCATCAACAGCTTCCCTGCTAAGCTAAGCTCGTAGCTGTTATAGTCCAGGTCTTCTCGCTCTGGTCAAGGTGACTTATACCACTCTGCCTACTGAAGGAAGTGCGATGATACACGCGCTCTCCTTTTTCGGGTCCTAGGGGCGGTGTTAGCGATCTGCATCCTCTACTTCAGAGTCTACGGTGCCCAAATAAGAGAGTTGAAGAAAGCACTCTCATATTTTCTAGACCGCATCCTTTTATACTCGCAGAAGAATGGCAATTCCACGACCTATCCCTGCTTACCATCTCCGAAGTAAATTCGGCAAGATGAGGAAGTCCCCCACATCCGTGATCAAGGTACAACGTTCCTACTGCGATTAACAACTTGCCTAGACGCCAAGGCCGGATATATGAATCTGCAGAAATGTATTGATTAATGCTAATTTACTGATTATAACTACTTATCCCTATTTCGCTTTATAATAAATTATCATAATCTTGATTGACTAGCGCATATACGTGATACACATATCTGCACTTGCTTACGTTTTAACGGAAACTTATCATATAGTAAACATAGATATAAATAGCTATATTATTATAATCGGCTTATGTATTTACCTTAATGATTTAAATCTGTAGTTAAATGTCCCAACATTGATAGATATAATCGATTATAAATTCTTATTCGTAATACCTACATTTAAAGAATCTATGCAGTAGCAGAGTTGCAAATCTCTTGGGCGAAATATATCTACCTACAAATTCAAAACTGTTGTGATCTACGGAAGATCGTGCTCGTCTAGAGTTCTATACCGAAGTATTGAATGATCCCACGGATCGTATAATTTATACATTATTGAAGTACGGATCGTGATAAATTTTGAACTTGTAGCCAATATTTAAATGAAGGTCAATATTTATCTCATCAGTACTATCTGCAGCGGGGATGAGATGACGAGCCATAAGCACATAGATAAAATTGTGTAATATAAATAATCCATAATAAAATGCAATGCAATGTTAAACCCGATTTTTATTCATTTAAGTGGGTTTTCTCATTAAAGATATTCTTTGAGTAAACAGGAGTCCTTTTTTTGAATGCTTCCAAACATACGTCGAGCGTCCGAAAATAATGTTCATCCATACTAATATAACAAAGTCAACATTGTTTCTTACCTTTATACGGCTTTCACAGCTCTTGAGGGCAATTCAGATGTGTATAATTTTCTCTCTTGACCAATTTTTGAACCGTAGCTTTCATTAATCAACTCAACTCCAAATATACTTTAACCCGAAAATATTATTACATTCTCAACCTTCCGATGAGACATTGGCTAATGCAATACAAAGAATATTTCATAAATGCAATGTATTTATGAAATTCATAATGTACAACTAAGTCAAATATAACAAAAGTAACGATTGCATTTCTTTAATTAAACAATTAAACTTCTTCTTTCTTTAATAAAGTATCTATATCAATACAGGATTAAAAGGTGTGTAAAAAAATTGCTAAAGGCTTAACTAAATGTATAGTTTCAGGTACCTACCTGATAGCTTAAAATACCTTCCTGATAGCTTAAAAGTTGCAAAAATTACTCCTACCTTTAAATACAAAATCATCATCTAATATTAGTCCTCCCAGTTATGTCCTAAATTTGAAAGAACACTAGAAATATAAACGACTCGAAACTTGAAAATGAAAATACACTCTTTGACCAAAATTATACGGGATATACGAGTATTGACCTAAAAAAGCTTTTGATACCGTGAGTCATGAAATACTCCTAAATAATCAGAAAGGCTAACGAATAATAGGAATTGCATATATTATCTTTAAAAAGTGAAAAGGATCGAAAATTTATCGTAACTTACGGAATCCCACAAAGTTCTATTTTGAGATCTCTGTTATTCTTAATATATAGGTATGACATTGCTCTAGAAGGCGATATTACATTGTATACTGATGATACAAGTTTATTCTATTTTGATCACTCGATAGATATTATTATGGTTGCACAAGACGATAAACCTGTTAAACAAACGGTAAACAACTGAATAGTTTTCTAATTATTAATGTATCGAAAACAAACTATAATAGTTGTAAATAACTAAAAAAGAAAGAAAATAATTTTAACATTTATAATAATATCCTTGGACAATTCACACAGCGCCACCTGTCACATACCCATTGTATTATGGGTTATTTAGTTACTAGACAACTGATAAATATAGTACATATAAAACTTATCTCTGTAAAAAATATATTATGTACTATGTATAAACACCCAGATTAATACAAAGAATCATACTCATGAATACAAATGCGAGAAATCGAACCTGTGACCATCGGAAGTAAAGCAGTGTCCTAAACTACTAGACCAGTGAGGCCGTCAGACTTAAAAAAAATACATAATTGATTGTGAAAAATATTTTGGCCTTCTTCGTGATAGCACTCTTACATGCAAACCAGTTTGAATGCTGAAAAGGTTAAGTCTAAATTAACTCGTCTTACTGGAACACACATACCTATAACCCAATGTCTTTCTCAGAAAGTGCGTAATTATGTTTCACTTGTTAAACTCACATTGATTAAAAACTTGGCACAAAATAATTATTTGCAATACCAGGCCTATTTTATAATAACTACCTTACATATAGTCATAACATATATAATAAAACGAAATTATTGAATGTCACATAGACTTAAAAATATCACACTAGCTTATTAAAACACTGTATAACAACAAATTTAATCACTAAAATTTATACTGTCTTTCAAATTATCAATTTTCAATTAAATACAATGTGTTATATGACAAACGGATAAAGTCGCACTTTCTTTCCTATTAGGTAGCTCTTGGAACTATTATAGAATATTGTACTTACTTCATAAACGGGCTACACACGTACGATACTAAATTCTCACACTACGAAAAATCAATCCAAATTTCTCCACATACGAGACGATCCAGACGCTCCTTACCGGTTATCCGATATTTAGGATTATTTTACAATTAGTGTCGTATGTAGACCGTTTTACTTGTATAGCTTCTTATACTCGTAAGTGTACGTATATATATTATATTACGAGTATAAGAATATATATCTACTATACCTTATACATTACCTTTGTTGTTTTACTAGTTTGTATGACTTATCAATTATACGAATATTTATTCGAAGTACTTTTTGCCAGTGACACTAAATTTAATTTCGATGACTTTATTAATTACACGGATAGGACTAAATAAACGATAATGTTTTTGTTTTTACTAATCTCTATCCGGTACTGGATATGATTGGTATTATCGCGCAAATTATGCGATGCGCAGAAACTTAGCACATACCGTTGTATGTGTAATAACTGCTGACAACATAAAAATTATAATAATTTCTTATAAAATCCGGTATTATAATCGGTAAACTGGT